TTTTTGTTTGTGAAATCTTTCTCCCTGTTCATTTACAGATGCAAAGAATCTCTTTTCCTGGTACACACCTTCTAATTTCATCTTTATACAATTCGGAAATAGCTTCATAGTACCACCTTTTAGCATTTTACCAGATTTTAGGGTTGGGAGTAGCGTTTATGCTCCAAACTATTTTGTTTGTCTCTCTTATACTCTGGCTATATGGTAAAATTGGCAAATTCTGTATCAGTTCACTTCTCTTGATAAAGGCAAGGTTGTCCCTGTGCCTAACTAACTAAGCACTACGCCATGAAGGCGTATGGGGGAGTGTGTATTGATCCACAGCTTCACGCCCCGGCCGCATTACCCCAGGAGAAAGAGCCCCCACTCCCCATTGGAGAGGAGGTAGGGTGGACCCCAGACGCTGCCTGGACCATATAGAGAAGAGAAAATTCTTGACCTTACCGGGACTCGAACTCCGACCCCCAAGTCTTCCAGCCCGTAGTCAGTTGCTATACAGACTATGCTGTTCCGGATCCTCACTTCTCTTGATACTAATTTTAAAGTTATCTTTCAGCTGTGCTGTGATTTCTGTGTCAGTACTAGAAGGTGCATTTTATTTTCCTTTTCAGTTGCTGGCATGAGTAGCATTTTTTTTTTATTTATTACATTGGTGATTTTATGAGCCTCTCTTAGGATATGTAGGATTTGAGGTTCTCGCAGCTGGGATGTAAGGCCGTATTGTCCGTTGAGAGTCAGCCAGTGTTTCGCAGGAACATATTGCTTCCATCTTCAGGGTCGAATGAGCCGAGCAAGATACCATCGTGAAAGCAGATGGCAAACCGACCAATCGGGTGACCGCGAAATTTCTGATTATAGTGAAAGCAGGAGGGAAATGGGAAAGTGGGCCTCAGTTTCCATTGACTCGCTGTGGGGCAGAATGAAATAGCTGGGCTCTCACATGACCCCCGAGAAAACCAATAGGAGGGAACAGGAGTTCAGGATGGCCCTGAAAAGGGCCGGTTTTGCTGGTCAGGGAACCGATATGTAAGGTAGAGAGGTCAAGTGGATGAGCCACAGGTGTGTGGCTGTTGACTGAGGGACCGCAGGTGGTGAAAGGAAGCCAGAAGGTCAGGTGGAGGCTGGGGAGTGCCTAGAGAGGACGTATACATACTTCTTTCCCTGCAATCGCATCTTCTTATGGCTTGTAGGCTGCTGTGTAGTATTTCAGTAGTAATATTTGAATTACTAACATCATTTGTGTCATGAGATGAATAATTTTTTTCTTGCTTAGCTTTTTGTAGTTCATTGACATCTGCTCCTGGATTGTTATATAAGTCACAGGTTTTACTCATTTCATAAACTGTAATTCTACAGTTAGCACAAACTTTAGTACCTTGTTTCACAGTGCTGACTAAATGTATCAGCTATGGTTGAATCAGTCAGAAATTTTTCCCCACTTATGGCCACCTTCATTAAAAAGATAAGAGCAGAAAATTTTTCTGCTCATGCTCTGCATTTGGTAGAAGACTGAGTGCATCACAAAGTGTAATGCGTAAGAAATGGTTACTTGTAGTTCAAGTACTCCGAAACATATTCACTTCAGAAATTCAGAGCTCAAAGGCTGTAACTGCATCTGAATGAAAACCTGTTGAAATGCTGCTGTCCACAGAAGGAAAACATATTACAATACAGGAACACTAGAATACCCCAGCTTTCAGTTTTAGAAAGAACAAGTTGCAACCTCAATCATGTTTTTTTTATTTTGAAAAAAAAAAATCATGTTCAGTTTATAGAAAAACGGCCTAGGCAATGACCACCCAGCTTGGTGCTGCCATCTATGGGTAAAATAAGTTAAACTCTTTTTAAATCTATATTATATTTAAGCATCCTGTTGCACTCTACACGATAAATGATACAAACTCCGTCCTAAGTGCAAACAATATATATTTATATGTCTTTGATCTTGTTCTTTCTACACTACATGTTTCGGCCTCTATCGGCCATCATCAGGTGTATACTCTTAACGTTGCTGCCACACTGAACCCAGTCTAAAACTTAACATTTAAAAACACAATGTCACATTCTTCGTATTATCAACATCTACATCGTTGATATGTGTCTGGTATGTAGATTATGTTGCACACGTCAAACCCGATATTCTTGTAGTAGCACTCTAAAAATCTTTAGTTATGATGTTTTTAAAAGGTTTTAAACCTCTAACCCTTTAAAACCTTTTAAAATTTTTCTCTAAATTTTAAATTTTTAAATAGCACTCTAAAAATCTTTAGTTATGATGTTTTTAAAAGGTTTTAACCCTTTAAACCTTTAAAACCTTTTAAAATTTTTCTCTAAATTTTAAATTTAAAATTTAGAGAAAAATTTTAAAAGGTTTTAAAAACATCATAACTAAAGATTTTTAGAGTGCTACTACAAGAATATCGGGTTTGACGTGTGCAACATAATCTACATACCAGACACATATCAACGATGTAGATGTTGATAATACGAAGAATGTGACATTGTGTTTTTAAATGTTAAGTTTTAGACTGGGTTCAGTGTGGCAGCAACGTTAAGAGTATACACCTGATGATGGCCGATAGAGGCCGAAACATGTAGTGTAGAAAGAACAAGATCAAAGACATATAAATATATATTGTTTGCACTTAGGACGGAGTTTGTATCATTTATCTTTTTAAATCATTAACAACACAAGTACAGTCATCTGCTGAGAGAAAGCGTAGTAAAATTTCCAGGAAGACCTGATTGCACCTTATAACCAAGTAACAAAACATTAATTCCTTCCATTTTTTTATAGTTTCTTCAAATTTTCATTGTATATCAGGCAGGTAGGGTAAAGTTGTCCCTCTGCTTAACTAATTAAGCATTACGCCATGATGACTTATAGGAGAGTGGATGTATAGATCCACGTTTTCTTGACCTGGGCACTCGTTGGAAGTGAGTGGTCAACTTCACACCCCGGTCACTTTACCCCGGGGAAAAGAGGCCCAGGTATCCACTGAATAAGAAGGCTTGCTGGGCTCCAGAGCCTGTCTGGACGATGTGGAGAAGAGAAAATTCTTGACTACCAGGTCTCGAACTCTGACACATTAACCCATAAAACTATATTTCTTTCTTTATTTCAATTTAAAAACTTTGAAGTTGTAGTATATTGAATAATTCAAGGTCAGATTTAAATTTAATATCCTTTGACTGTTTAGTTTGGTAATGCAGTTCTGTAATACATAATTTTAAAGTTCATTGTTAATGCTTCATAAGAAGCTGAGTGTCAGCTCTGTGTGTTAAGTAGAAAGAGAGTCAGAATCAGTTTTGTGATCTTTCATTAGGCAGATGTCTCGTGAAATGACTGAAATAGAATTTTGAAAGCTTCTACATGTTCATGATTAATGGGTTATAGTATGTGACCCAGATCTCGTTAAAATCACAGTAGGTGAGGTTAAGGGCTGTTTTGATTTGACTTGGAGTGACCTCATGAGAGTTAAAAGTATTAAACCGGTTGCAATATTTTATATGAAAGAGAGGGAAAGAAGAGCCAGTTCCAGTGCTTGCAATCCAGTTTCTTTTATGAACAAGGAAACTGTGGTGACCACGCATTTGCAAACAGTTCCAGCATCAGATGTGGTTTAATTTTATTTTAACTGCTTTGCAAATGAGTTCAACCCAGATAGTTTGTGAAACATCTAGAATGAATCTGCTCTCAGTTGTCCCATTCAAAATACATTGAATCTGCGACACCTAAATTCTTATATGTTGTGTGGTGTTTCTCTAGCACATACACTTAACAGACACAACAGTAAACAATCAGATTAGAGACAGAGATTAACCAGAAGAAGAAATAATTAGATGAAAAAAAAAATAAGTAAAGCATTCTTAGTTAGGTTATGTGTAGTTGGAATTGTCCCCACATTGAATTTTACCTGGAAGTCTTAAGCCCGAGTTTGGAATGAAATGTTATTAATGTAATTGTATTGTATCATATAGTCTTCCAAAACACTGCAGATAAGCGTAGATTATACAGATGTCAAGTTGTTTGTGGACCGAGCATCAGACAACTTCCTGCAAACAGTGGAACCATAGCATTTAAATCACTGATGGTTTCTTGTGTGTTGTACTGCCCTTTGGTTTACAGAAGGCTTTCAGAATACGTCTGGTGGGCCTTGCCACTTGAAGCAGTATGTCGAGAAATATCCACCACTAAAGTAAAAGAGACACATACCCAATGTGCAGTACTATATTTTGCTTATGGCCTGGAAAAATAAGATTTTGTATATCAATAATTTTGTAGGACTATTTATATTTCAGCAACATGACGCATTGAACAGGCAAGCATTGGAATGGCTTTTTCGGGCTTCTAATTGAGTGTCAGTGTTATTCTGATTCCCTATGATACTCGTATGAGTATTTTTGTCTTTTTGTGAAGCAAATTTGTTACATTGCTTTTTTTTTGTCATTTTTTACTTATATTTTTCCACAATGGAGGTGCCTCAAAAATGTTGGCTGTAGAAATATGTATTTTGTTGAATTCATTTGACTACTTTGCTTTGCCTGCCACATGCTTTAGTGGCCACTGGCATGTCTGATTCTTCTGCTCTGAAGATGGAGAAGGTGTGTTCCTTGTCAGTGAACTTCTGTTGGATTACACAGCATTAATATCCCAGAAGACACTACTGTTCAATTGACTATTGCTTTTGAATACATCATCAGCAGAACTGAGTGATTTGTTCTTACCTCTGTGAGGGTATAGAGTTGTAGTCCAAGTAACTTTACTGGCAGTGAGAACTGCAAATAGCTGGGCAGTGATGTGTTGATATAAAGTGGGAATTCCTAGCCATGATTTACTAATGAAAACTATTTCCCCTTTTGCTGTATCTTTTAACGTGCTTCAGTTGTACATACTTTAACCATCTGCCTGTAAATGTGTCTGAATTTGTTTCAGTTTCATGTGAATATGCTTAATACAAAAATTGATGTCATATCCATATTCATGTATGTGTTTTCAGTGTGCGTGAAACTCATCAAATTGCAGAAGCACAGCAGGAGAAGAATGCTAAGTTGAGAGAGGCATTTGGCATATCAGAGTACTTTGTGGAAGGGAGCAGCTTGGATCCTCAGCGGCATGTGAAAGAAGCACAGGCAAAGTCAGCTGCTGAACAGAACAAGAAGTACACATTGGTGCGCACGCCCAGTCCCATTGCTGCTGCTGACACAGACAAGGATAAGGACAAAGAAAGTTCTGATAAGACAAAAAAAAGAAAGAAGAGAACAAGAGAAAGGTAAATGAAAATTCCGATGTTGTAATTTTCTGCCTGCAGCTGAAATTAATATCATATAATGAAGTCAGTAATACTGTTACCTTATTTTGTTTCGTGCTCTTCACTCATATATTCTAGAAAGTTATGTAATTGGATTTATAAATAATCTCGATCATATACACATAAATACTTTCTGTATTATAATTGTTATTGCTTGCTAAATGTTGTGGATTGCTTAGATAAAAGGTAGAGTAAAGTTTAATGTATTTAGATGATCTGAATGTATGCTACTCAAAATCCCCCCAGTAATGGCACTCCCAGTACAAATCAGTTATCATCTGTACTTAACTATATGTTATGTTCCATCATGTACTTATTATATTGTATATAATAAAATACCAGTCTGAAACTGTTTTCTGAGATTGACTAATAAGTCAGGTATTGGCTGACGTATTAAATTTATGCTATTTTAAGTTTATTACCATTCAGAGCAAGTGACCTTGTTGAAATGCCATCTAGTTGAGCCAAAAACCTGTGTTTCTTCCCCCTCCAGTTAACCAGTGGAAACATTTCCATTAAATGGGTAATTGAAGAACGATATTTTGTTAGCTTTTGAGATTCTGCTTTGAATAAAATTTGCGGTGCCGGTATAGTAAACTGTCCGTCAAATTCTGAGGCCTCATATTAATAAACGTTATTTCTTGGTACCAGTATTACGAGGGTTGGAACTTTAATAGTGGAAACTATTTGTTTACAACTGATAGAAAATAGATGCATGTTTCGAAGTTTTACTCTCCTTCAGTTTATTCACCAACATTGTGTACAAACCGTTGCCAGCGATGTGGAAGTCGTAGGATACCTATAGCAGCGCCTCTTGTGTTGATAGTTCGAATGGAGCGGTCTACTGCCTGAAGAATCTCTGGAACAGTTCTGAAGCGAATGCCACGAAGTGGTTCCTTCATCTTAGGAATCAAGTCTAAGTCACAAGGGCTTTAGTCTGGAGAGTATGGTGGATGATACAGCACTTCCCAGCCCCATTAATTGAACAGATTGCCATTTCTGCATTTCCGTCAAATCATGCAGAACCCACTGTGATGCAATTTTTCTCATGCCCAGGCGTTCCTTTAGAATGTGAAGCACAGTCGTATGTGCTAATTCTGTCTCTTGGGCAAGCTGACGAATCGTATGATGTCGATCACTCTCCAGTAACGTGGAAAGAGCATACCCTTCTTCTTCACTGACACTAGGACGATCTGGCCGACACATGTCTGCCACATTTTGGTGTCCCTCGTTGAAGGCTTTTACCCACCTTGCCACTGTTCTGTAAGGCAATGCAGATTCCCTGCATGCCTCTTGAAGACCTTGATGACATTGTCGTGCTGTACAGCCTTTGGCACATTCAGTCTTTATCCAACTCCGTTGTTCCTGTTTTGAACACATAGTGACAACACTACATTAGACCGCCAGCTAACACGAGGCTCTGTTCTTCTCGTCACTGCGTATTCACGTGATATGGGATGGGGAACCCATTTGCTCTCAGGTAAGGTAGGTATGTAACTAACATGTCATATAGGCGACATTATTTGGTTTCGTTGCATGGCGTCTGTAAAGCAGTGTTGCCACTATTAAAGTTCCAACCCTCGTATGTTTGTGGACATTATCCACTGTCTTGTCTATTTTTTAAAAAACCGTCATGTTTCTTTTTTAAAACACAACGCTTTGGAGACTGGATTCTGTCCCCGTCCTCATGTAAAACCTACTCAGTTGGGACCAATAGCCCTTATCTCTGGAGATGTCAGTATTTATATATGCAGTCAACTCTCGATTATCTGGGATAATGATGGGGATGGAAATCACGATTAATCAAAAACCCGGTTAAGACAAATTTTATTCAGAGTAGTACTGTAATACTGTACCTTCATAATACTATAGGCCTACCTGTATTTAAATTTATTCAACCTCATTTTTATGTCATCTCATGGCCTATTTAATACTTTTTTTACATTACACTGAAGTATGAATTAGTTATTTCAAACACAGTCTTCAACAACATCCAACAGTTTTTATGAATATTCACACTTAACACTTAAAAAATTTAATATTGTCGTTTACTTTTTCACGCCATTTTCCTTTTTCTGTTGAATACTTAGCACAACACGCTTCCTTTTACACCCAGACATTTTGCTAACGCACTTGAAGATCGATACAAAGATACTAACTGGGGCGATGTATCTGTCCTTGAAACTTTCCACAAATCCTTGCATTCTTTCACCCCTACCCTAGAACATTGTGTTAGCATAACGGGACCAAAGAATGCAGAGCTCGGTTCACACTAGTGCGAAAATAGTGTTACAGCTCACCATGTGAAACAAAAGTGAATGAATATTAAACAATATAAGCCTCAAAAAAGCCTCAGTAGCCCTGTTTAAGCCGCAAACCGCTTAATCCGCCCNTTTGTACTTCAATTTTATGGCACTCACAAGTTAGTTTGATGTTACGTACATTATTAACATTACAGAATCCACATATTAATGCCAGTTTTAATATGTATTTTGTAATCAACAAGTGTGCAAAGCCGGTCAAAGTTTGACACTTCTCTGGCCATTATCTCCATAACCGTTCAACTTTGGACATAGGTGTTTTGGGTTATATCGGCATACTTTAACATAAGGAACACCCTCCCGAAGTTTGGTCCATTCCTCCTGGTACACCCTGTATATATATATATATATATTGACAACAGATCTAGCAAATAATTTTCCCACACCTTATCATGTTAATTGTGCATTTATTTCGGTTAAAAGACAGTTTTGCTACATGTTTTGGCTTACCATGAAGCCATCATCAGGCAATGTATTATAAAACTTAGATTACTGACTCTGTAAATTATATTTGGATCCATATATTAGAACTTTGTCCATTATTATAATTGATTCATAATGTTTGTATGCAAAGTATCACTGCTGTTTTGTTGTATAGGGATGAATTCATTAATATTATTCTTAACTTTAAAGTAGTTTAAAAATAAAAAAACGTAATTAAAATTTAATGCTTCTATAAATTAGTGTTATGTATGTTTGAATGTTGGCATTCCAGTGTGTTTTTTAGAATTCTAATATGTGTAAGGAGTCCCTATTTTATACATTTATATGTTCATGTACCTATACATTGCTGTGTTATGCAAATTTCTACATGAATGTGTTGTTTGTAGCGTTGCATCATTTGTTGTGTGTGGCGTCATCAAATTGATTGGTCCTGGCTTGTCATGTCTTCATGTTGCTACCATGGTACTTTATCCTTCTTGTGTTTACAGCAGGCGCTGTCTAGATATGTTTATTCTCTTGTCTGGGGATCTGTCAGATTGATGTTTCTCTGTATTATTGATTACATTATGCTTAGTTTTTTGGTCTCCCTATGTTCCGTTTCGTCGTTCTCTGTATTTGTATGCTGACTGTGAATGTTGTCGCAGATTCCTATTCTGTCATTTGTACTTTTCTGTCAGCTTTCATTGTCTGCGTGTGCACAGATACAGAAACAGAAGAAAATATAAATTGTATTAAATATTACACTCCTTTGACTAACACTGCGAGATATAATTGTCTACAAGAGACAAAATACATGTAGTGTGGCATATCAGGGGCCATTAAAAGTGCCTGGCTTCAGAACATAGAAAGTTAATTTTTGTATTAGCTGAAATTGCTTGGTACGATCGTTCGGAAGATAGTGCTTGGAACTGTCTTTTATTAGGTTTGACTTAAATGCTGAAATTATCTCCTCATGGTAACCTAGTAATCCATTGGAAACAGGTAGCTTAATATGTAGGATTTGAGGTTCTCACAGTAGCAGTTATGAAGAGTTCTGTCTTCTGGGATACAACTCTTCATATAGCTTAGTAGTTTTCTGGTTACAGTAGAGACAGGTTTGTAAGCCTTATGTGAGATAGGAGAATGAAGATTCTTTTAATTTAGAATTTGTCAAGTTAGATTTATTTAATGTTGATTAAATTGGATCATTGATTAATTTGAGGATTTGTAACTTAATGTAGGCAGACTGTCATCAGTGATTCCTTCTACAGCTTTGTACATGAGACGTACAAATAAAGTTTCTCAAATACATAAACTCTTATGGACCATACCTACCAGAATGTTGTGTGTTTTTCACTAACCTTCTTCATTAACCAACTCCTTTTGAAGTCTGGTGAAAGGACAGTATTGAAAATGTGTTATTTCCACATATTGTAAGGATAGTGTTTTCCTGTTTGCAGTTTGCCATGAACATACATATATTATAACACTAGGAGATGAAAATAAAATAAGGTAGAAAATGTTTTTTGTGAGTTAGATTGACATGCATATTCTGAGGAACATGTTGCATTTATTTACCTGTTTTTTGAACTATGTTCTGTTTAAAGTGTGTTGCTATATTGCAGTTGAACTTCTAAGAGATTGTCTGGGAGTAAATGAATTGGTGAAATTGTTTTTATAGTTTTTAAATTATGTTAATATTACGAGAGTTGTGCTTAACAAAATATGTTCCAGTGACTTGACTCAGTATTGTTTGTATGCCTCAGATGTTTGTATAGCATGTTAAGACTTAAATCAGTAGATTCATGTTTAAAAAATATTAACAACCTACAAAACCACTGAATAGTTTATGTGTAGCTTTTTAGACAAGTATAAGTACCTAATAAATTATCTTTAATATTTGTTTGAATTTACGAAGTGGAAGAGTGTAGAAGTACTGCTGAACTAATCAGAACGTTTTGTGCTATTCCTGTCCTTTTACACTTAAGAAGAGTGTCGCAGACATTTAGAATTAAATGGCTTATTTGTTTGGGTTCAGAGATTGTCATGTAAACATGACTACAATGGATGTCTGGAATGTTTGTTGTTGTATGATGTTGAAGGTAATTGTCATCAGAGGGGACTCAGACTAGGGTACACATTTTCCAAATATATTTTTTGTAGTTTAATCTTATTGGCATTAATGATTATTTATGTAAAATAGAAATGTATGACTGTAGGTACAAACACATCATTGCAGAGCTGATCACACTACAGAGGGTACCTGTCATTTGATCAGAAAATATTTTTCCTTGCGTTTTCTTAATTATCGACCACAATAAAAAATGTTTATCAAATAAGATTATAGGTAGTATAGAAGATTATTAGTGCCATCCAGTGTGATTGATAAATGTAAAGTAAATTAAAAAGTACACGAACCAAATTGGTTCTAGATTTTAACAAAAATTGTTTTAAACAGTGCCTTGTAGGTAGACTAATTATAATAATTTATAGATGTATAATCTTTTATGCTATTACCAGTGGGATGGACCAGGATGAACCAAGTCAAAGATTGTGGATCTTAATGAGGTGCTCATTTTATGCCTTGTACTATAAGTCTTAATGGTATAGTGCTCGCTTTGTTGAGCACAGGGACAACTTTACATTANTGTGTAAAATAGGGTTTAATTGGACCATTATGAATTGTATGGAAGGGGACCCCACCCCACACACTCACGCACACACAATAACATTCAGGTTGTTCATATCCTCTACACTGAGTACCATTTGTTCAATACAAAACACATGGGGACATTTAGCATAACATGTTTAGTCCATTTGCTCTATGAATCAAAGTAAATCATGCCTTGTGTACACAACCTTACAGTGTAAGTATGCCTGAATTGCCCACAGGAATATGAATACCAAAGTATCTATAAATAGAACCTAGTAGCTTTTTAATGGTTGTATAACAGTTTAGGTCACTAACTGACAATAAAGTACCTTTGTTCCCATAGTGGATGGAATATAATATTGTGGCATGTAGACAGCCGTTCCTAAGTAATGGCCTGTAAACAGCAACAGAAGAATGGTGTTTTCTGTATGTTCGGTGCTGATGGCTGTACATGCAACAATGACACAGCAACAGATAAAACAGTGTTTTCTGTGTGGTCTGTACCGAGATGTTATAAGCAGGACAGTTGGAGCAATGAATGAGTCGTGAGATAGGCGCCAGCCACCTAGGACTGGTGGCATGGAAAATGGGAGCTGAGGAGTCTATGACATTGTGAGCTGTTACCAGGCAATATTCAATGAAGACACAGCAGACTGAGAAGACTTAGTACACACTGTAGTGAATTGCAGAGTGTGTGAATTAGCAATAGTTACTTGTAGTTATGATCTGTAAATGTTCAATAAATCCAGTTACCAATCCAAACCCTGTCTATAATCCCTCTGTCATGTTTCAGTATCTTTAGCCAGATGTTTCAAAGGGTATTTTAGAAGCTGTAAGGGCTCCATAGCCGGTCACGGTAGCCGAGCAGTCTAAAGCATGCACTGTCTTCGCTCGCTTGGAAGCCGAGATCGTGGGTTCGAATCCCGCTCAGGGCATGGATGTTTGTTTGCGTTTTTCTGTGTTTGTCAACAGGTAGAGGCCTTGCAGCGAGCTGATCACTCACCCAAGGAGTCCTACCGTATGTGTAAGATCTAGAAAAACCGAAGTGAACGGAGTTCATGGAGGTAGGCCTAGGCCCACTGGGGCTGTAGTGCCAAGGAAAAGGGGGCTCCATAATTCAGTGTGTAGTTTATGTATCAGCTCTCAACACCAAGTTATTTGAGGTCAGCATTAAATGAGCAGAATGATAATATGAATTCCATTTTTCCACAAAAATTTCAGGTCTGTGATAATTTAGAATGATGTATACTGTATGTAATGTAGTGTAGTTGGACTTAAATTGTCTCTTTCTTGTAGTTCATCAAGTCCTGAGGCCAAGCGAGACAAGAAGAAAAAGTCTAAGAAACACAAGAAGGACAGGTACTGTTCCATTTAGTTGTATTGTTTGTGAAGTCCGGGATCATCAGTATATATATTTTTTTTTTGCTAAAAATACTGATTGTTCAAATTCAAGATATCTGAATTGGTGCCATAATCTTGATTTTTTAATGGAACTGCCATACAAATTTTTCTGTTTCAAACAGAACAATCGGAAGGGATTTTGAATGACAATGTAGGTAAGTTCTGAGGATTTAAATTCAAAATAAATTACAAAAGCAGTTGAGTGAAGTGATAATCAATTGTATGGAGGGACAGAATTATTTACATTTTAAAATCATACATATTTATATTCTAAACAAAATATTTGTGATTTGTGATTTCATACCTATTTTCAGAATCCAGTGTTGTTACTTGTAAGTACACTAATATGATAACTTAAATTTAAATTTTCTTATCAATATCTTTCAAAATGAATTTTTTTACATACCTCATTATAATCTTCTGAATCATTGTCAGGTTCCTCCATTAAGCTGTGAGAATTTTAGTTTAATATGTATAATTTAGTTATTACTTTGTGTATTGTATGTGGTAACAGAATCATGTTTCTCAACTTTCTTATATTCTCTACTGTGTAAAATTCTTTGAACTTAACAAAAACTCACACAAGAATCATTGTTAATTTATCTCTCTATCTTTCTAACAAGTCAGTCCTTAATGATGGGTTGATAAGGTAATGGTATTCCCATAGTATTTCATATGAATGTCTTTGAAAATCAGTCTCATTTTGTTTTCTTTTGTTTATTTTTTGTTTGGAAAAGTTTGTGTTATGCTGTTTTTATACAGTACAATTAAAGATGAAGCCATTTACTTTGAACGTAATTAGAGGGGTCAAATAGTGTGCCTTAAAGAAACGTTGGTGGTCTGAAAGAATACATAAAAGTTTTACTATTATCTTACAGTATTTTATGTCCATCTTCAGTTTATGAGATAAAAGTTCTGATTTATGTGTTATTCAATGCATAGTTGCTATATAGTTTAGACATAGTTTAAATCCAGTCACTGTTATCACATGAAGCTCTCAAGTGCAGGTGCATGAATGTAATATTTTTTGCCTTCATATGTGACTGAAAACTGCTGTGATATCTAAAACAGATTTTCATTGCTCAGGAGTGTTCTGAATTATGGTCTTTAGTTCATAAATTAACATAAAAATGGTACCCTCTTTCTGTATATAAATTCTGAATCTGCTTCTTAGGAATACTCAGATTCTGTTTAAGGGATGTTTACTGAGATTTGTCCATAATTCAGCAACAGTGCACTAAATATCTAATAGGTAGAAAATTCGTTCTTCTGTCAGTAATTGGAGCTTTGGTTCCTGAATTTTATTTAATGTTGCTGACTTTCCCGAAGCTGTAATTACAAATGGCCCACATTTCTGTTGTAAACATTTTCATATGCTTCTAAGCAATATCTGAGAACTCTAGCCATATCTGTCTAATTTGGTTTCTTGCATGTACTGCACATTTTTGTATTTAATAGTCTGTCATTTATGTGTTTATTTTACAGTATATATTAAACTGAAAGGAAATGAATAATGCTGTTGAAATTCTTCAGCTGATTTAGCATTTTATAGCCAAAGTCAGAATATTGAGGAGTATACTGTAAGTTGTGTAGTTGAAGCTGTTTCTCTTGTTTTTTTATGCCAACATCTAATAAGCTCTTACTTCAAAATTTGTAGACAGGTGCAAAGGAATTTGATGGTGATACGTTTTGAATATGAATGCAGAACTTCCTGACATTTGACATGCAACAGGCCTCTGTTAATATATAACTGAGAAACCTGTGAAACCAAATTTCAAAGACTGGAGGCTAGTTCTGTAGGATATCTAAGCTTCTATATGATTCATGATTGAAATAGGTTGAAGTCATGGGAGACATATGGGATGCTGAGCTACAGGGTGTGCCATTGAATCGGGCGATTATGAATACACCATAAGGAAGTACTGATTTAACATACACTAAATTCAAATAAAATCCTTACTATTAAAAAATAGGATCACAAGGTGACCTCCATTCCGGTTCATACACTCTGTCAGTCTTGTGTGTAGGGTACTCATCTCATTGCACAGCATGGCGACAGGAATTTGAGCCATCTCTTCCTGGATGTTGTGTAGTGATGGCGGTTGAAAGACGCATGACTTTAAGTACCCCCAAAGGACGAAATCACATGCAGACAGATCGGGTGATGTGGCGGGCCATGGTATATTCCCGTTCTTTGAGCTGACATGATTAAGAGAGAAATTCCTCACAACGTTCATGGAAGCCCTTGAGGTGTGGCTCATAGCACAGTTCTGCTTACAAAAATGTGTCCTCATTAACTGGATGACAAGCTAATTCAGGCCCAAGAAGGTTTTCAAACATGTTAACATAACACTGTGAATTCACTGTAACTGTATGCCCATCACCATCCCCAAAGAAATAAGGTCCTACGTTTCCAAATGATGAGTTGGCACACCAGACTGTCAGTTTCGCAATGTGGAGCGGCTTCCTTCAATGCATGTACTGTCTGAGTCTTGTGAGCATAGCAGTGGGGATCTTTGTGTAAAATCCTCATGCTGTGATAAGAATTGCCAGCGACACTGCATGCTGACGAGCTGAATGGGTAGGATTTCTTTGTAGAGCACCCTCCACTCTGCGAACATTTTCTGGCGTACGCACACTTTTTACACTACCATTTTTTTTTCTTGAATGCAAAGCCCTTTTCCTAGAAGTTTTTAATTCATATTTTTGATTGCATGGGCAAAAGGCACCAGATTATTATGTGGAATGTTAAAATGATTCCGAAATACACGCTGTGCTGACATGTAACTATCATTATTTTTGTAATGAGCTTCCACAGCCAATGTCTGATGTTCACCAGTTCAAGACCCCATAATAACTGAATGGTAAATCAGCGACTGCAAGGTGATGATAGTAGTGTTCTCCCTACTACTCAACAACTGACTATATTCAAGGCTGCCAAATTGACCAATTCATTGTTGCACCCTGTACATAGGATCCAGTTTCTTTTAAGATAATGGATGTGCTCTGAAGGAGGAGTACCATACTATTACTGGTTTAATTCATGGTTTGTGCCTTGCTAAAACTCTTGTGTATGCTTGTCCATAGGTTTTTTTGGCCTTTGTTTAATGCATCAGTTTGGCTTTTGGGATTTAGCCACATTGTTTGGGAAGTTGTTCCAACATTTTTGCACACATTGCATTCACCATCTTGAGGGCAAATGTGGTGGAAGGAGGATACATTTGGGTATATAGGTCTCACATTTGAAGTAGGGGGGGGGGGTTAAACCATGGTATACTTCAGTGGAAAAGGGCCGTAGCCCATCATGTAAGTTTCACAGTGCTGGTAAGGGTGGATAGCACCATATCCCCACACTTCCTTCCATTGTGAGAGGCTTGTGTATATGAAACCACTTCCTTCTTCCTCATCATTCACCCTGAAGATGATGACCACTATGTATCCCAGAAGGTTGGAACGAGCTCAAAATATGATGTAGCAATATCCCAGAAGTCAAATTTATATGTATTGTTAAATGGTAGCGGACAACTAAAAGTTTTGTTTCTGCACAAGATATGAGTATATGTAGAAGACCTTAAAATTTTCCCCAACTCCCCAGCATTCTAGTACTACCATGTACTTAGAGAGATCAGTGCCTTAATAATTTGGGCCATAACCGGAACTGTGTTGTATGTTACCACGATTGTTATTTATACATGTTAAAATATTAAAACAAACTGTTTTACCCTCATTAGAATATCCCTATATTCATTCATTCATTTATTTATTATGTTATGAAAAGTGAAGTGGTTTGCTGACAATGCATACATAAATTTCATGTTTGGATTATTGAAAAATTTTGTGTGAACATAAAAATAATCAATTTTGAAAAATTTCAAACTTTATTAAAGTGATTCAAATGGAAGTGTGATTAATTGGAAACCAATTCAGAAGTTTCTGATGTATGATTAATTTTGCTTTTGTGTTTGTCATTAGTGACTTGTTCTTGTCTTTAATAGTTCTGTGTTACTGAAAATAAAAAGTTTCTTAAACTTCCAGAATGAATTATTTTTATCATTTTGTTTTAATGTATTGGTTAATGTGTGTGTGGATGAAATCTACATTTCTTTAATCAGATAATTATCGTTCTTATATTCTTCATAAATTTGATTTCAGTCAGTATAAGGGGAAGAACATTAGTAGTGTATAAAACTGTTGACCCCATGTGTTGCATAGGTCTGAATCACCTAAACATTCAAAGAAGAGGGTATCTGCAAAAGATAAAAAGAAAGAAAAGGAGCGTCACAAACGACGAAGATCCTCTTCCTCTTCAGCTGACTCCTCACCATCAGTGTTAAGTGACAGCTCTGATTCTAGCAGGTGAATGTTGTTTCCATTCTTGCAGATTGGCACTGCTTGAAACTGTTTTTGCTTGCTTTAGTCTTCTCACAATGTTTCTCTTGTTTGTACTCCTGCCATCCACCTGGTGACCCTGTCTCATTCCTGATCCTCATTTTTCATTATACTGTGGTATGTAGACTTGTTGCTAAGGAGTGACTCTGTAATCAACAACCGTTTCTGGGCAAGAGCTCAGTAAACACATTCCAATGGCAATGAATACTCATGCAACAATCCAGTTAGTGTTGTAAATGTGGTGTTTCTACGTGGATGGTGCCAAGATGTTATAAGCAAGGGACTAAGTCAGTTCAGTTTGGTTCTGTATTGGAGGCTGCGGAGATGAGACCTGAGCACATGAAGCTGAAGAATCTCTGCTGTTAGAAGCCGTTTCCAGGGAATGGCTGATGAACACACAGAAGGCTGGAAAAGGCTCAGTGGGTGCTGTGGTGATTTGTGAATTGTGGAGATTGTGGCACTATAATTGCTTGTAGTTCCAAGTTGTGGTGGTCAGTAAATCCATTCACCAGTCCAAACCTTGTCTATAGTCACACATACACATGACGATACTATTACTAATTATTTTAATTTTTGCATCAGTTATTGAGTTCATGTGTTAGTAAAAGAGACGTGGAAAAATAATTGTAAGTAGGTTGTCAGGTTGGGGCTGCCTCTGTGGTCTATTGGCCAGCGTTCCTGGCTACAGATGCAGAGGTCTGGGTTCGATTCCCGGCGCTACCAGATTTTTTCTGAGATGTCGGTCTGAAACAGGGTCCACTCAGCCTCATGAGGATAATTGAGTAAGTGTTTCAAGGAAATAGCGGTCCTGGTCTAGAAAGCCGAAATTAACGGCTGTGGGGATTCATTGCGCTGACCATGCAACACCCTCTATCTGCAGAAGTTGGCACTAAACTACATTAATAGGGTTGTACCTTTAAAGGTTCTAGTCAGCCTTAGTGTACCAACATTTACTCCAACAGATATCATTTGTCCCATTGCAACTTGTTTTTATTTTGGGTGTAGTATGAGAAGGCAGAGTGTAGCATTTTGAGTAGGAGAGGCTGTTGGAGACACTTTATTCATTAAACTGGACCATCTAGACTGCCTTCTGTGTTATATAGAGGAAAAGTAATTTGATTGTAGATGTACTTATTTTGTCTTGTTGAATAAGTAGATAGCTTTCAAGTAGTTTCTTTGAATTGAATAGATATATCTTCATTTCAGTGCATCTGTTTCCAGTGACGACAAACAGCACCATAGAAAGAAGGATAAGAATAAACAACAAAAGGAGAAGGGAGAAATTATCTCCAAACACAAGAGATCTCATCAAGAGGTAAACTGGGAGGCACAGCCCCCTAGTGTTCCACAGCAGTGTATTTCATAAGTAGTGTGCCTTCTTTAAGAACGCATTTTTACCTGCAAAGAGCAACGCCCATTTACGGTTACTCCTGCATGGAATGTTCTTTTTCTCTTTGTTTCATGTTGCTCTGCATTTAAGGTAGCCATGAACAGAGAGAGGGTTATGTGTTGAGAACTGGTTAGGTTCAGCTTTGTCTTATCTCCAACACATGTTTATTTATCCTGTTTGTATATTTTGTTCAGTTTCATGTAAAACGCAATAAGGTGGCTGCCTCTACTGTATCATCGTTTTGTACCAGCCTAATTAAATGGTGCAGTACTTGTGAAAAACATTGCTGAATAGTTTACAGTACATCCTTTAACCAGAAAATTGTTTTTGTACAGTTATTGAAATGCAAATATTTTCAAAAATTACAGTGACCTTCTTTGGTCTAACCTGCTTAGAATTTTGTTATTAAACAGGCCCATTAAAACTGCCCCTTATTATATGTATCCTTTAATTTCACCTTTGTTTCCTGTTGGTTTTCATCCAAATTGTGTTTCATGGAATTTTGCAATCATAATTACGGACGTTTCCAAGGATGATATCAAATAGTAAGTATAGTTACTGTAAATTTAAAGTTTTTCTTTAGAAAGCTGGAAAGCTCATTCTCTGTAATGATAGTTTAGGTTGTTGCAGAAGTCAGTACCAGCTGTAATTATTTATTTTGTATGAGAGTTTTTGCTGTCACATCCATTAGTTTCCCTTCTGAGATGTTTACAAATTAAGAAGTAATCCTTCTGAACACAGTGATTTACAATCATTTATAGAAGTAAGAATGTCTTTGTGATTATTTGTAATGTGCCTATTTAGTGTAAACATATTCATTCATTAATATAAATGCATCAACATAATACATGAAATGTGTGTTTGAGTGGATGTGATTTGTTTATGAATAAAACTCTTGTACGCTCTATATTAAAGGAACTGGTAAGGGCTTAGAACATTGTCATTGAATCAGGATAATAAGTGTGTTATTTCATATATGCAGCTTAATAATATAAGGCCGAATTAATTCCTGTAAATTAATTGTGTATGGTGGTAGTAAAACTTAAATAATATCTTATAGTGTATAGCATAAACTTTATACAGGGTGTTTCACGACTTTAGGGCATAACTGTAGGAGGTGATTTCCTAGGTCTTTGTGATCAAAAAAGTTCATATAAACATATGTCCGGTTTTGGATGGTTACGGAGTTATGACCGTGTTTTCATTCCCGTACATGCCCTCGTGTGAACCGCGTCTATCATCTGACAGCTCGCTATTTTTAACCAGCTACAGACAGCGTTGTCGTTCTCTCGACACTTGAGAGGTACCTAAGGCTTGGTCGGCCACGGCTAGTATGGCGGCTACTGGTGTTCAGAACAGTTCTCATCTCGGTGCGTCTGTTACGTTTACGATGCCATTTACATTTTCATTTGAGGAGTATGCAGATATGATTTATGTGTACGGGTTTTGTGATGGTAACTCAGTTCTTGCTGTAGCTGAATATCAGCAACGGTTTCTGAATCGTAGAATACCGAACCGGAGAGTGTTTACTGGAGTTTACCAGGCATTGCGAGATACCGGTAGACTTCCTGGCATTCATATTGCAGCCGAGCATGGTGTTAATGAAGGCGTAAATGAAGAAGGCATTGTTCATATGGTACACCAGAGTCCACGTACGAGTACGCGAAGAATTGCCAGCCAGGTCTCCAGACTTAAGCTTTCTGATTGTGTGTGGGGATGGATGAAAGAACTGGTTTACAGTGTGAAGGTGGCAACACGAGATGCTTTGCTCGGTCGCATTCTGGATGCCGCTGACCACATACGAAACAGCCAGCTGAAGCTGCTACGTGCTACCCGCGCGATTCACAACCGAGCGGCATCCTGTGTTGCGGCCGGCGGTGGCATTTTCGAAAATCAGCTCTAAGCACCAATCAGTTCAGATAAAAGTAACTTCACGAAGTTAACTTTACATTCATACTTTAAATGTATCATGTATTATGCTGGTTTATTATTTTGTTCCATTTATTGTCAGTAATCGTTACCTTCTATTCTGAGTTTAAAACAGTCATAACTCCGTAACCGTCCAAAATCGGACACATGTTTATATGAACTTTTTTGATCACAAAGACCTGGGAAATCACCTCCTGCAGTTATGCCCTAAAGTCGTGAAACACTGTATACTGAAAATATTCAATAAAGAATTTTTGCTAAAATTTGCTTTCCTCCACTCAGTAAGATTTCAGTACAAGATATGAGGTAACCTTTGAAATAATTCTTTGAATTTCCCTTATCACTCAATATTGCAGATAGGGATTAACATTACTCTTCTGTAGATATAATTCTGTTGTTTCATTTTATTGTCCACCAGATATTCCTAAATTAGTTATTGCTAGAAAAGGACTCAACTTGTCCCACCCATCTTCCCTCTTTAAGTATTTTTCAAGTGTTTGCATGACCTCTTTAACAACAAAAGAAAATATGTCAGATGTCTTGAAGGGCTTATTCGTTGTGAATAATACAGAGTAGAATCAAATCTAGAGCAATAAAAATTGTTCTTGTTTATAACACCACGCGCCATATCCTAGGATCCCATGTCATTGAGTAAGTATCCGTTATAAAGAGTATTGCAATTCTGGTGGCGGTGGTTTCGTTATACAGTATTATTTATAACCAAATGTAAAATTGCACATATACTATGTTCTCATGTTTCTGTTTTTAATATCAAACATACAAAAATGCTGCTTTTGAACAGTTGTATTAAACAAAGACTTTCAAGTTATCATGTGACTTCTTACTCAATTTCTGACGGACTTGTAAGGAAGTCCTTGAGGCATGATGCATTGTTTGAAGATTAACAACCCTTTGAAGCCTGAATTTTTAATATTTAAAACTTAAGTTAGTACCTTACATTAAACACACCATATCTCTGTTGCAAAGACCAACTGGTTAATACTGTTTAGGGAAATAATCATTGTTTGTTGCAAGTATCATACAAGATTTATAAATTCACAGTGTGGGCAAAATACAGAGCTTTTTAATATTAAAGCAAATGATAGTAACCACTGTGCTTTAAGGGGGAATTTTTTCAGATTTTGCACACATTTAGCTCCTGAATAAGGAAATTACATTCATTTGATATAGCTGAGTGTATAGAGGGTGAGAGCTTTGGTGTAATGCACCAGAACAAAGATTTGGAGTTCATTATATTGGCCATAACAGCAAAGCCATGTCTGAATTGTGTGAGAAATAAATGAGCACAGTTTTTGACAAATACTGGCACATTGGCTAACATTGATGATTTTTTAAGTTGAAACAGGATATTATCCAATATTCTTGCCTGTATGTTATGTCACAAAGTGTATTTGTTGGCCATTTAGTCCTTTGTACTGATATATGAAGTGATTTGTTTGCAGAAGCTTGACACTGTATTGTCTTGATACTAGAAGTGTCATTAACCCTTATACACTCAGCGCATTTATCCATCAGCGTGTCAGGTAATGGTCAGAACATTCAGGCGACTGATCTATCGGCTCTATCTAAACCATGCTCTTTTAATTATATAAATGTCTCAAAGGTGTCAGCACAAGACAGTACCCAATTCTCCAAGGTCTCTTTCACACTTTTTTACCCAAATGACGTCCCTTTGCTTGCAAAAAATATTTGTTTGAATCAAATTAATTATGTTGAGCTCACATGTTTACTTGGTGGTTCAGTGCTTTCTTGGTCTGTTGTTTTAGTTGTTTTGCTGTGAATATATCATAGTTTAGTGATGGTATTTTGTTTTTAAAATATGATTTTCATTATATTTTTCAGAGTTAATAGTGTATATAGTTAGTTATTTTACATTTTTAACTAGACAGTGGCTGGTCCAAGCCGTAGTGTAGTTGACATGTTGGAATATTTAGATACAGTTTACAGTGCTAGTGACTTTATTCCGGAAAGTGACAGTGATTATAAAAGTGAAGAAGAAGATGCCCCACATGCCACACTCCCAGCTGCTCACCCTATGCCTGATAGTGAAAAGGATGACATGGATGATGAAGACTACAGTGAAATTCTGTCACCTGAGCAACCTCTTCATCTTCCTTTCCAGTTCCAAGAACACTCTGGACCTACGCATATGCCTCCCCCTGATTCTCCTCCTGTTGCTTGCTTCCATTCTTCTTCATGGACCTGCTCCTTACCCTCATAGTGACAGAATCCAGCAGATATGTGCAGTAACTGATTAGCAGTAAAGTGGGTAATGTTCCCACCCCACTAAAGAACTGGACCGGAATTGCCATGCATGAGATGAAAGGATTCCTGGCCTCTATTCTAAATATGGGCATCATCAAGGAGCCAACCATAGCATCACACTTCTCCACTCTATGTTCCCAAGCACCCTACCATTTGGGAAAATGTTTGCCAAGCATCGCTTTTCCCACCTGCTGTGCTTGTTCCACCTTGTCAGCAACGAAGGATTGCCAGGCCACAGAGAACTAGACTCTGATCCTTGTGCAAGGTACCAGTCCCTTGCAGACCATGCAGGCAGGGTAGTCAGGCATCACTACACCCCTCATCAAGAAATTAAGTGTTGACAAAAGCCTGATAGGTACCAGGAACAAAACCAGTTTCATGCAGTATTTGCCCAACAAGCACCACCACCATTAGGGAATCAGATTTTGGATGTTGTGTGACTATATGTCCAATACTGCCTGGGATTTTTAACACACAGAGAGGCCAGGTCTCAGGAAGACAAAGGCAACATCCTAAAAAATGGCCTGAGGTACATTGTCATGGAAAAACTGCTTGAGATTGGAGGGTACATCACCAAACGCTACCATGTCTTCATTGACAACTATTTCCTGTCTGCTCCACTTGTCCGCCATTTCCATCAGCTAAGGACTTACATCACTGGTACTGTTAGAAGAAATAGGAAACTTTTACTCAGCAATTCAGGAACAAATTTGCAGTTGGACAAAAAATATATTGCAGATCTGATCCCCTTCTTGCATGTGTTTTCCATGAGAAGAAGTCACAAAAAATCTTGTCATTATTCTCGCCAGCCATGCCACGGCCCAAGAAGAGGAAAGACATGGTGGCAATCCACAAATAAAACCAAAAATCATCACATCCCACTATAAGTTTATGGGTGGCATTGACCCTTCAGACATGTTGCTGTACACATATTTGGATGAAAGGCAGCCAGTGCATTGTTGGAAAAAGTAGCTTTCTACATCATAGCAAGGGTGGTGTTTGAATAGCTACATTTGTACAAGGAAAACTACGTGGAGCCTGGCAAACTGAAATCCAGGTGCGGCTACACTGTGTCCATATTTGAGAGCTTGGGGGAGGAGTGGTTGGCGCTGAAGGACAATGCTGGAGCAGATGATCCTCAGGGACCACTAGGGCTCAGGAAAAGAAAGAATCCCAGTGTATTGTCTGCAGCAAGAAGGAGAGCCTGAACAGTATGCATCAGATGCAACAAGGGGCTGCATGGAGAATGGTTCCCTAAACACAGTTGCTAACTGCAAAAGGAATGTATTGTGACATGTTGCACAATGGAGGACACCCCCCCCTCTGCCAGCGGCGACGTAACAGGTGAGTCAGCACTCCCCACCCCACCCCACCCCGCACTGTGACGTGGCAGAACTCCCCACTGTGATGCGGCACCGCTTCCTACTGTAACATGGCACGCAACGACACTGGTGACACGGGCAACAGGCAACGGCGAACAGAATAAAAGCCAGCTGAGCAGTAAGCGTGAGTGAGTTAAAAACATAGCTGCCGCCGAAGTTACAGTTCTTAAGGCAGCAGTTCTCGAGTTCTCAAGTTACAAGTTAGCCAGGCAGTCAGCTTTTCAGTTGTAGTCTAGTATTTGTGATACTGCCGATGGCAGTAATTGTCAGATTATAATTTGTGTGATTGTAAGAGCGAGTGGAATAAATTCGCTATAACCAACAAGGCGTGAAGTTATTTGTCGCATTATACACCCAACATGTGACAGTATGAAGTGTTTTACATAATGTGATATAGTTCCAGACCAAAGAGCTCTTCATGCATAAAACTTATATCAAAATTTACAGAGAAAGAATTATCTTTCTTGGAGGCTTAGTGACGTAGTTGGTTGAGGCACTATGCTACAAGCCGGAAGGTCACGGGTTCAAGTCCCGATGAGGTCATTGGATTTCTATCAATTGACCTAATCCTTTCAGCCACACTATGGCCCTGGGGTCGACTCAGCCTCTAACAGAAATGAGTACCAGGAATTAATTAAATAATTTTCCTGGGGAGTAAAGGGCGGCCGACATGTAAAGCTGACAACCTTACCGCTATCTTTGAGCCAATTGTCTAGATAATGTGGGACCCTTAATGTCTCACAACCCTATGGGCCTCCATGGCGTGTTACAGGGATAGCTTTACTTTTTTTTAAGACTTGGTGACAAGGAAAGAAGGCCAAAAAGATAGTATTATTTTTTCCTAAATTATGTAAATTTAAAATTTTGATCTTTAATTCTTTCAGTTTTATTTTATTTTTTTTAATTATTTATAATGATAGCACTTGTAGACTGTTTTTGTTTAAATATGCTGTTTATAGTGAATAAGTGATTTTTTTCATATGTCTTTGTCCAACGTATTTTTTGCAATTTTTTTAAGTGAGACTTTTAAATTGAGCCAGATTCGCCTAAGTGTTTTAGGCCAGGTACTTGGAAAATAGACTGAGTGCGAAAAGGTTAAATAACTTAGAAATAGAATGAGCAGAAGCAATTTATAATTATCAGTCAGCATTTTTGGGTGTTACGTCTACTACACATGCATGTTTGTAATGTACGTGGAAAGTTGTGTTATTTAGCTTTCTTGTCAATCTTGCTTTTCTTAAACTCGTGTAGTTGTATTTTTGTTCTTTGATATGTTCCTTTAAAGACTTCCATGTGTGTTGTTTGTACAGTTTTTGTGTTTATATGTTACTGTATTGATGTTTCCCAGGCAGCGTGCTCAGATCAGTTGAGTAGAACAGCAAAACAGGAACAGGACTAATAACTCCCAAAGGAGATTCCAATGGAATGTTAATTTTTGTTTGCCGTCATAATTGGTCCTTCTTGTAATACCGTATTTTCTTACTTAGTATGTTAAAGTAAACAGAACAATAGTCATGAGTCTGAGCTTCTGAGGATGGACCTGATGAGTAAGAGTATAACGAAGCCCATTAAGATTATATCAAAATAAGACAGGACAGGTCAGCATCAATATACAGAGTACTTCTGAGAATATTAAGACACATTCATAAATAAATGTGCAAGCATTATTTCTGTGTACACTAAGGTTTTTCATCCTGGCTGAAGATCATAAGGAGAAAAGTATTTCATCTGAAGTAGATACATAGATGCGGTGCATATGTTCCGTCTGGCATGTTGGTCCATTTGTTAATGTTCCTTCCACACCTAGTGCAGAAGGACTGTAATTTGTGTTTAACGATCTGAAAGGAACCATATTTCAGACAGTATTTTATGTAATATTTTAATTGATTTAGAAATATTAATTTTACCAATGGTGTCTCCTTAGGGCTTGTTACATAAATCTGTGTATTCAGTATGTAGAATGTTAGAAATATAATGTGTTAAAATGGGACAATTACATTTTCCACACATCTAATAGATTGTGTACATAGCATATCAAGATACAGGCATAGTACTTGTGACATATAAGCTCTCTGTTGTAAGGGTAAATAAAACCAGAAGGGAGTATTAGACAATTTGTAATATACCCAAACTAGAAAGAGTATAGTGATTAGTTTATTGTTTTAAGATCTTGCCAAGAAGTTATAAAATACATAAATATATTCAGAGTAATATTCATATTCTTTACTTCATTTAAGTATAGAGTGTGTAATGCAGTAACTGAAATATATCTTATCATTTGGTTTTAGTATGTATAATTGATTTTTATTAGGTATAGTAATTCCTTATATACATTTATATTGCATTTATACAGAGTTACATGATTTCTTGATGTACTGTATTCTATGTGAGATTTTATATGTGTGTTGCTCAATTAATAAAGCCCCATATGCCTATGTTATAGAGCAGTTACATTTCAAGCAGTTTATAATATTTTATTGTGGATATAGATGATAATGACAGTAGTGGTGGTTTTGCAGTAAAACTGTGATAAGAAATTATTCATGTTAAACTGTTGGCAGCAGTATGTCTAGAGAATTGGAGACCCTGTTTTCACAGAAGTGAGAGACTAAAATAAATAAGTAGATGGAAATTAAGGTTTCTGTATTTCTGTATGTTTCCGTATATGTTTGCACATAAATTTGAGTGCAATGATAAATTTATTTTAAATTAGAATATTTTTGCATTACAGTATTTTATGGAATGGCACACAGTTTCACAAATTTATATATGTGGTATGTAACTCAGTACTGTTTAAATAGCAGTAACTTCTGTTTTTACATATATATAGCACTTTTTCTGAAAACACTTCCATGCAAAGTAACAGGTTGTAAAAGTGCTGTTTCATCTCATAATCTACTTGTCAGATACCATTGAAGCCAGGTACTGGAAATTTACAGCAGAAACAGTTGTGAATTTCATATTGGTTAGTATTGATCCAGTATAATTCCAGTTTTACGTGAAACTGTAATTCCAAAACCGTTCACAAAGGTAGGAATTACTTCAAATGGACATTGCAGATTTTAAAGGGGATCCTTATTTTGTCTTGTAACTATTTTTAATCAAATATTGCTATCAATCTTGTTATTATAGGGTTCATTTTACATTTATCAGAAACTTCACTATTCATAAAATTTAATATGCTTTCAGGGAACATGATGCATCATTCTTTCATTTTCTTCGCACCAGTCCGATGTCAGATGTACAGAAAAGAGTTGTCCCATTTTAAGTTTTTTGTTATCCTCATTTAAAATGGAACTGAACCATTTATCCCTTTTACAATGCCTATCATTACTATAATTAGTGTGTGTCATGTAATTGTGTGTTATTTATTTGTGTTTAGAAACACTATCCATAATTTAGTCTCTTTTCTGTACCTTCAGAGGAAACGAGTAGGAAGTGGGTCCAAGAAAAAGCCAGATACATCTCATGAAAGTTCATCTGATAGGTGAGTAGTCAAGATAGAAACTTGCCTTTTATGCTAGCTTGCCATATAAAACTGTCTGTATATGGAATTGAGCTAAATTCGATTAGTAAAGTTCCTGGATAATCCTACATATCAGACTATTTGTTTACTTTTTTTTAGTCTGAATACAAGTATTTTCAGACTCAGTAACTTTCTCTTTAAGAAAACCTTGTATTAAAGAAAAATGTTTTGTTTTTAAGTCTGAAATATATTGCGTAATATGGCAAGTGTGATTTGTCTGTTGTAACAAGAGAAGCAGGAGAAACTCCTGAATATCCATGAATCCTTAGATAGTGTTAAACATTCTGAGTGAGGATACTGCTCTTGTTTTGTCATATATGTTTTAGTGATCTTGATATGTATTGTTCATTTTAGAGATAAGCCTCTTTTGTCTGTAGCATACATATTCAGTGGCTGTAATTACTAGTATTGTGTAATATAGGAGGTCATAAAGATTTCTCATGACTTCCCCAAAAATAAAGCAGTTTATTTTTTATTCAACAGAATGCAAAGTAATTTGTTGTTTATTTTCCTCCTCCCTGTCATTGAGTTTTAAAGATTTGAGCAGAAAAGAGAGAAACTGCACATACAGATAATATTTATCTGTAGTGTTTTATCCATGAATGTTCTAATATTATGTCTGTAAATTTATTTGAAGTAGGTTGGCAAGAGTGGCATCTTTAGCAGAATTTGAGGGGTACTGTATCCAGTTTGAATGCTGCCAGGAACCAGCTAGCTCTGGGCCTTTAGTGGTTTTTCTCAGACATTGCAGACAAACAGTGAACAAGAAGAGTTCTGTCCCCTAGGGTGTAACACCATGTAGTCATCAGAAGTTAGCTGACATTTCAAAGCAACATCTTCCTCCATCGCTTGCTGCCTGCTTCACGCTGGTTTCTTGCGTGGCTTAGTCTTTGTTCATGAAGATGGAGGCAAAATGTTCCTCTGAGACTTTTATTGACTTTCAGTGGACTACACAGCGTTATGTCCCAGAAGATAGAACTCTTCATAACCACAGTTGAGAACCTCATATCATACATAAATGTTGGGTAATACTGTGAAGTAGGCCATCCCTCCTAATCTGTCATTTGCAGTGATTGCATAGCATCTTGTTTGATGCTTTGTGATATATGATACAATGTCATAACATAATTTACCAATCAGGTGCAGAACTGCAACAAAATTTGGTAATTTTCAAAATACACATAACAGAGGAAGATAAATTGCATGTAGTGTGAGCATGTCAGTTGCAGGTGTACACATTTATAAGGTCATGTGCTTGTATTTTTCAGGTACCTTCTATTTTACTTTTCATTTTTTAAATTCATCCAGCAAAAAGTATTCTTGCCCACATATGTCGAGTGAGATAAGGACATTGCTGTGTGTTCTCTTAGCACTTGTTGTTATAATTTGGGCTTACTGCCTGTGAACTGTGTTGTCTTCTGTGGCTGTGGTATGTTCACAACCATGGTTATGCTCACATTTACAGAATACCTACCTTTAATGATTTGCTACTCTGATATTTAAACATGGAGCTCCTGAACATGCTGAATGCCAGGTCTGGATGGGATAAGAGCCATCACAGTTTATGGCTTTGATGTTCGCTCTTATTACTGTTGTAATTGTTTCTTACTTCCTATTCTCCTCTCACAACAGCAGTAGAAGCTTTGCGGAATGGTACGATTTGTACACTGTGCCTTATGAACCAGCATTCCTTCATATCCATCATATGAACTTGATCATACATATAAAGCTAATAGTTCAGGGTAATATCACTGCACACCTATGACATATATTCATTATGTTGTGAAATGTTGTGATGCAGCAACTTCCTCTTGGGTGCACCAGTGGCACATAAAATCACTACTTGGTTCCACAGCACTATAACACTAAACAAAGTGTAATATATGAGTAGTAAGAACAGTCCATTTATTCCAAACCTTTGAGTTGTAGAAAAATCCAAGTTGCTTGTGTTATACATGCAGAGGTTCGTTCTTTCTTTTGCATCCTTATTTACTGCCTGTTTGTAGAGTGAGATGCTGACCATTGTTTAATTTCTCTCTGATAAGACATGCAGCCTAATTTGAGGTTCCCATTCATGCTCAGAAATATGTTCAGTATACCACTTTACATATCTGTTGTTACAGTAGCTGTTGAAAGTAGCATTCTCCAGAATCACTGCAATTCACACTGAGGTAAACATTTCTATGGCATGTTAAAATTCACCTGTAATTTCTAGAATAACATTCTGGATTGTGATCTATAAAGGCACCAGAGTGTGGATTATTTCTGTAGACTTCTTGCTTCAAGTTTGTTCACATAAAAATTACACATATTGGGATTCAGGAAACATGACAGCTGTGGTCCTCTATTCATTATTTGTTCATTGGGAACACCCCTGATGCTGCATTAAATTTTTTATGTTTGTATGCAGCTCCGTTTTCCTATTGAAAATATGCATAAGTGTAATTCATAGCAAGAAACTAGTTGTTTTATTACTGTATCTTAACCCTTTCACTGCTAGTATGTTAAGTAACTCTCTGTACCGTCTGTGCTGAATTATTTTTGAATAAATCATTTATAAATTAGGTGCAAAGTATGAAAATTTGTGATAAAATGTAACTAATCTTACCTCAGACAGGGAACAGGCATCAGAAGTTGCAAAAATGTTGAATTATTCAGTATTTTTCACAGGGGAAAAGTCCATTAAATCAGTGTTGTCCAAGATGGCCAAAATAGTACAAAATTCACTATCCTAGTTAATCTTATCACTATGTCACATGTTGACCAAAGTCCACAACTTTATTTAAAACTATTATAGAAAGCACTGCACACTATACGAAGCCATTTTTAGTAGCCCTGTGAAATACCCGCGCCACATTACCACAGAGCACGTGCCTCGCTCTGCAGATGCAACCTTTTACATTTCTTAAGCTAGAGGGCAGAATAATGTAGCCATTGAAATGAATGATGGTTCATTACGTTCCCAGATGAATCTATGAACCTGCCAAGTTTGAATGAGATTGGTGCAAAGAAACCTGAGATTTGAAACTCTTAAGTCACAATACGGGTTTTGTCAATCACAGAAAGGGTGCCATGTTTTTCAGAGATCGGCTTATGTCGACCGCAGCAGTGTAAGGGTTAATGTGGTTTGACACAGACAGAATTGTGCATGTCTTCTCACAGCAGCTGTATTGCAAGAAACTGTTTATATCAACATGTGAGTCACTGTGTGGCGACTGAATCTTTTGAGCAGCTGCTTGAAGTATCATAACTGTTGGCTGAACTTCTTTGTACCTTGAACTTCCCATTATCTGGTGTGTACGGGGAATTGGGTGTTCCAGATACATGAATCTGATCGTTGCATGGTGGAGACCCTTGCAAAACCTAATCTCCATACAATTCTCATCCATTTATGATCTTTAATATTTCTGTCTTCTGTTTAAAAATCAGAGCAATGCACTTTCATTTCAGTGTTTACACAGGAGTCCTCTTAAGAGATATAGTGGATTCATGGTGAATGGTTGAAATGTACTCAGACATGATCACAGATTGAATTAACCTGTACTGTAATTAATCATGTATCACTACAACTGTAATGGCACCTGTATGAGGGAAGTGATATGCATTGCAGCTTTGTTTTGGAAGTAACTGTATAAAATCGTTCAATTTCCTTGAGATGTTATCTGCATGACAGTTGCATTTACATGGATAATGGATAACCTGGAGTTTACAATACATACAAAATACTTCAAATCGAAACTGTAAATGTTGCATGCATATTTTATCTTTCTCTGATTTTTGGACATTCAGTAACAGTACTGCTATAGAATGACAATGTTAATATTTGTGCATATGTATGTGGACACACTCCCACATAAATTGTTCAAAATTTGTAACATATAAATCCATTTTGACATTGGTTCTTATGGAGTTACTCTCATTGTGAATCAAGCATCATTATAACTGCATTGTCTTTTTTGAAATTTGTACGTATGCACCATTCATGCTTTTTCTTGTACTTCCAGTGACCCTGAAGTTGAAAGATGGCATTCCAAGACTCAGATTGCAGAAAAATCAAGTCGACGTAACAAAACCCGTGATTCTTCACCAGTAGTGAATCATAGCGCTAGGTCCAAACCACAGACAAGTCATGGTGGATCTCGTGATCAGGGTGCAAGAAACAGTAACCATGATAACTCGAATAAAGTGGATAGTAAGGAGAGAAATGAATCAAGAAGTAAGAAACATATTGAGAGTGATGATGAAATAAAGAAAGAAAAAAGAGTAAAGGAGAGAGAAAGAGAATCAAGAGATAAAGGAAGGGAGAAGGATAAAAGGCAGAAAGAAAGGGAAGGCAGAAGGAAGAAGGAAAGTTTGGAAATGGCACAGCGTCGAAGTATTTCATCTGGTGGTGTGGTAAGTCATTCACGATCCTCTTCTCCAAAGAAATCTAAGAGTACTGTACATAATTCACAGAAGAAAAGACACTCATCTCAGTCTCCTAAAAGCAAGCGTGGTGCACGTTTGAGATCTGCGTCACCTTCAAACAAGAATCGTAGATCTAGTCCGCATAGTACTAGTCGTGCCCGATCACCATCTACTAAAAGAGCCAAAGGTGTGGTAGAAGCAAAATCATCCCATATTTCAGCCTCTCCCAAGAACCGGAATAGGAAATCCAGGAGCCATTCTAGATCTGCATCTGTTCAGAATCATAGGTCCAGCAATAAACAATCTTCTAGAAACAGAAGAGAAGTTCGACACAAGTCAAGAAGTGAAAGCAGGTCTTCCTCAGTGTTAAATTACAGTTCTGCTAATGCAAGAGATAGAAAAAATGCATCACGTGTGTCACGTTCTCCAAAAGCAAAACGGGCACGTGAACGGTCAGTGAGCGTTACTGAGTCACCTTCTGTCAAGAACCACCAATCAAAGAGAAATAGTGATGTAAGGAGCAGTGCAGTACATTCATCCACTTCCCCCAAAAGAAAACGATCTCTTTACTCCACATCCCCCAGAACAGGGAGAAGGCCACACTCTAAAAGCAGAAGCAAATCTCCCATCAGTAGCCATCGTTCAGGAAAGAATTCCAGATCTGCATCACCAAAGTCAGCTCAGCGGCACTCAAGGAGCCACAGTCATTCTCATAATAAAACCGACAAGAAGCAGACATCACATTCTCCAGCATATAATCGTCGTCATGAGCAGAGGGCCAAAAGCAGGACTAAATCACCAAGTAGAAATTACAAAGCAACCAGAAAGTCAACTCCCTCACCAAAACATGGACGTGCGCAGTCTAACCATAAGAAGAGAGTTAAGTCACCTACACCCACAACCAGGAGAAAAGATAGTGAACAGAAACGAGGACATAAAAGCAGGAGTGATAGCAGCAGCAGTGCAAATTCAAGCTTGAGCTATTCTCCAACAGAGAGAAACCCTGAAAGGTATAAGGATATCATAGATGCCAAACCTTCAAGCAGTAAGAGTGGTACTGATGGAAAGACTAGTGATAGGTCAGCAAAAACGAAAGCCTCACTGAACAAGTCATCTAGGTCTCGATCTCGCTCGGAATCAAGAAACCGACGTCCAACACCAGCAGTGATCCCTAGGGTTAGACTCCGATCAACCAGTGGGGAAGAAGAAGAAGAGGAAGATGAAAAGGATGTCAAAGAAAAAGAAAAGGAGGATGAAAATGAAATTCAAACACTAAAACTGCTTAAGTCTGGACTTGCAGAGAAGGCCAAGGAAACACTGGAAAAAAAGCTGTCTAAAGTATCACCAGATCTCAGAAGTCAGGAAAAAACAGCATGTAAAGATGACAAGCTGAAAACTTCCGATGTGAAGGAAGAGAAAATAATAAAGGACCTTGCAGTTACCACAGATGGAGCATCTGTGTCAGATATTGCGCTTCCTGAGAAAGAGCCTAAAAACAAAGTCAGTGAGAAAATTGTAACAGAAAAGCAGATTGTTAATATTGTATTACCATCAAGTCCTCCACCTCCCCAATTACCCGTCCCCCACAAAAGTCCTGAACATCCTCCACCTATACAACCTTCAGCAATTCCAAAACCACCAGGGTCACCACCAGTTAGAAAGAACTTGGAAACTGAGAAAAACAGTATTGATGGTACTACAGAAATATCAAAAAAAGATACAGCTGTTTTAGAATCTGGGAGTATTACCCAAAAGAGACCTCATTCTCCTGGCCTTGAAGCATTGCGACGAAGGCAGCAGTCCAAGTCCAGTAGCAGATCAAGATCCCGATCCAGATCTGAGTCACGAGGTCACAACAAATCATCTCGAAAATCACGTAGCTCCTCACAGTCATCCTACAGTCGTAGGTACGTGTTCTAAATCTTTTGATTTCACACTGACTCCTGCTGGGAAAGTAAGTGTGACATCGTGTATTTCCATTATCCATTTACTGCTTATAAAGATTTCAGTCTAATAATTATCACGTGTAGATAATGGTACTAACACTGTACTTGAGCAAAGAGATATAGATGTTTTCTAGTGTCCATATATTTGTAAATTTGTGAACAGAATAGATTGTGCTATATCCTGTATCATGAAATTTTGTATAATCAACTCTTGATTTGGCAAGATAACTGTGGAAACAATATTAATACACCTGTGCCTATAGGTATTGTAGCGTGTTTGGGCTACCATGGATGCCGTTTGGATTGTTAATTGATTTTATTAACAACCTACAAGTCGTTAGCTACAATTAATTATAATACTGTTGCGGGTTTACACAATGTACAAACCCTACACACTAATCTATTCACTCTATCTTTGGTAGTCTTCACTTACAAGGGTCGTACTGAAAGTCATGAGCAAAGTAACATGCTTTATTATTGACGAACCAAATACACCACCTCAATCTACAGACCTTTCTTTATTTTTCTACATAATTGCCACTTCTTTCTACACATTTCTCCCAGTGTTCTGGGAGTTTGAAAATTCCCCTTCTGTAAAATTCCATTCCAGCCATCTGAAGACACTGAAGCACTGCTTTCTGAATTGCCTCCCTTGTTTCAAAACGTCCACGCAGCTGATCCTTCATAAATCCGAAAAGATGGTAGTCAGAGGGTGCCAGATCAGGGCTATAGGAGGGGTGTGGAAGAACTTCCCACCCCATCATTGCAATTGCTTCCAATATGAGGCAAGTGGCATGGGGGCAAGCGTTGTCATGCAGGATGATGATGTTTCATCCCGGACGTTTATCGCGCAATGCACGATGGAGCTTGTGCAGTGTCTGGACATAACGAGCAGCATTGATGGTTTTCACAGGTTCCAGGAATTCGGCCAGAATAAACGCCTCTGCATCCCAGAAGACTGTGCCCAACACCTTCGCAGCTGATGGCACTGTCTTTGCCGTCTTTTTTGATGGAGAATGCAAATGGTGCCATTCCATACTCTGCCGTTTCGTTTCAGGCTCGAAATGGTGAAACCAGCTTTCGTCACCTGTCGTAATACAGAGCAAAAAATTATCGCCTTCGTGTCGATATCTCTGCAGCAGTTCTGAGGTGATGGCTTTTCGCTGACCTTTGTGGTCTTCGGTCAATAACCGAAAGCCCAAGCTTTCAATCATCTCCTGTACTGCACTGTGCCCTATTCCAAGTTTTTGAGGTATTGTGTCCACAGTCACACGCCTGTCATCTTGAATGATCTCATCCACTCTTTCCTTGTTGTGTTCAGTTGAGGCTGTTCGAGGATGACAGCTCCAAGGCTCATCTTCAGTGCTAGTGTTCCCATCTTTAAAATGTTACGCCCATTTTCAAACACTGCTTGCACCCATGCACACACTTCCATAAGCACGCTGAAGTCTGGTGAATTTCTGCAGCAAGGATTTCCTCTTTCACAAGAAATTTGATGACAGCACGCTGGCGAAACGATATATGGTTGTCGGCCATTTTGTTAGGAGTGATATTGGTCACGTGATGCAAGCTATTGACATCACAAGACACTCAAGGCTAACACAACAGCTGATTCCACCTACCACCATACTCTCTTTCGTCTGCTATTCCCAGGTTGCATGCAAAAAAAGTTGCTCATGACTTTCAGTACGACCTACATATTTACAGTATACACGAGAGCCGTACAAGTGTCACTGATTTACACATTCCCAGTACCCAATGCCTTCTCGGTTATTGCACATAAAATCTTCTAATCACGCTTCTTCTTCCCGCGGCTGCTTCAACTGAATGACTGACTTCTGTTCTGCCAAATACTCGCCACTTAGTTATTCCAGTTTCTCTTATAAACCCTCATTCAGACAGGCGGAAAGCGCAGCTTGTTTCACTGTTGCATGACCACTGTGTTTACAGAGGCGTTGCTTGGCAATGCTGCTGAGAGTTGTTTACTGCTGTGTAGCAACCAGTGCGGTTCAGCTCTGCTCAGCACAGCACGGCATGGAGAAACACCGCTTTCCTTATTGTTGTATAACCTTGTTCCACTGTTGTGTAACTTTGCAGCCGACTGTTTATCAAGAGTCTGTCTTCGTGGCAACTCATTCCACATCCCGTTGGCCAACAATGGCTTGACATGTCACAATATTATAGTGCCACTGTGCTATGAGATGAGGAGTAGTAGTTGTTTAGAGAATGTTTTGTAGTTAATTCTGTAAGTTGAATTAAGTGTAATGGTTCATATTCATTTCTGTTGATAAATTACATACAAAGATTTCTCATGTAACTCTCAGCTGTGAATTTTCCTCATGCACTAGACCTTCAGGTAGTCTCATGGAAGATGACTTTGAAAGACTGTACAGTCTCTTTCAGCACACATTAATTTCTTAACAATTTTCTGTTCTGTAACTAACTAGAACTGTTAACTGGTCCCAGTTAAAACATCTCGGCATGGACTTCATAGAAAACATCTCTTCCATTGTTGCTGTGGAAACATGCTTGTTTGTGAAGCCATTACTTAGCAGTGGTTGTTGTGTAGTTGCTTCTTTCACTGACGTTGCTTGACAGTGGGTTCACATGCCACAGTATATTTACATTTATCATAAAATTTTCTATTCGGGGATCAGCAGATTGTGAAAAGAGTGTCATCTTGAAACTAAGTATTTGAACATATGCTTAAGTGACACTCATCCTGTTTTTCGGTGATAATGCCATGTGGAAGTGGGCTGCGTTGCCAGCATGTGATAGGAACCAGCTGCCTTCACTTCAGGATCTGAGTGATTAGGGTAAGGATTTGGACTGGTTTAAGCAAAGTGATGGGATAACAGTCATTCACTGTGAGGGAGAGAGGAGATAAAACTGTTTCTGGGCCAAAAGGAATGGTGAAAAATAGAATAGTTCTCTTAAGAAATGATTGCCTACTTGCCTTCGATATGACATAGACCACATAGAAAATCAAGGGGGGGGGGGCACATCAGACAACAAGGTGATCTCATAGGCCTCATAACAAAAATTGGAAGGGGGGATACATAGACACAGATGGATACACGGACAGGCAGCAAGATGATCTCATAAGCCATTTATTATTTTTTCAAAATAAAGAAAGTAGGCTAAAAATGGGACTGTTCACACCATCCACTCACTGGCTGTTAGGCCAGAGGACCTCATGGTCAGCCTTGGTGTAAGATCACTCCTCACTTCTGTTCTTTCAAAGGAACGTCACCTTACTGGACCAACAGTTTCCTGAAAATGTAACCAGCCTCTTCCTATGTCGGTATGCTTCCTGTTTGACTGCTGGTTCTGTGAGTGGGATGGAGTAGCCATGGAGCCATTGCTATCCCCTGTCATAGCCAGGTATTAACAAGGAGCTGGATGCAGGTGCATGTAAACCTAGCTGCTGGTTTTGGTACCTCAGTGATGCATTTGCTGTCTGCTTGGTCCACACAAGCTGAACACATTTTTGTGCCACCTCAGTGACATCCTTCAAGACTTCAAGTTTATGATGGAGCAAGAAGTGTGAGATCACTTGCCATTCCTGAACATTGACGTCTACAATAGTCACAATAGGTCCTTGGGACACAAAGAGGACTGGAAGCTGTTGCACACAAGCCAGTATCTGAATGCTGCCTAGCATTGTGTTCTTACCTAGAAATTTTGTGTTGTCTTTACCTTAACCTTTAAGCGCCGAAGTGCCCCGTTTGTGCCAGTCATGAGTAAGGTCGTGGCCAAAGTACCCCGTTTTGGCCAGTCAGGCATTTAAACTCCACTAGTGGAAGCGCGCGCACACGCCGCTAGTAGAAGTGCATGCACAGTCCTAAATATTTATTTTTAAATGTAGTAATTACCAGACAGACTTGATTAAAACCCTAATAGAGGAATTAAAATAATACCTAAATGAACAACAGCAAATAGAAATATACGTATGAGTTATGCCAAAACTTATCCACGATCGAGTAATTTTATTGAAGATTCTGCGGATTAATGTGTTAAAAATATATTGTAAAATTCGATGTACATACCTTTTTGTTGTTACCTGCTTGATGTATATATAGGCTGAAATTATACTACAGTATTCAATTTCACTACGAACGCACACAAAACAGATCGCACTCTGTATCTTAGCCACGATGCAGCTGTCTGCTCATTCAAATAGAAGGGGCAATAATCTTTTGCAGCTCTAACGGAAGGTCTTAGCACTGAAGAAGGGACCCCTCTAGCTTTCTCTTGAATAGCCATGCTTTCATTCTTCTGTCGTTCAGTCAAAAGATTCAAAAATCTGAAGAGTATAAGCAGTGCTAGCAGAAGACCAAAATTGTCAAGTGTTACAAACAGAAATGAATTTATAATGCAGAACAACTCTGTGAAGAACTGGGAAACCATTTTTGCAGTACTCATCAAAATTAAAACAAAATATTGCAAATAGAGTATAACACTTTGTAGTAAAAATTTCAAATCTTCCGTTAGAATATGCGACACTATGTTCTTTGCTGATACAAACAAAGTTAATTAGATCCATTTATCATAAAAATTGAACTAGATACAGCATTTTTAAACACAATGCTTAAATTTGATTAAGCACCTAACAGGAACGGACATTTAGACGCAGAGTAGCAACGGGCATTTAAACGCGCACCAGCAGCGGGCATTTAAATAAACTCCGGCAAGCTCAAGCTTACCACTGTTTCGAAGTCCGGCATTTAAAGGTTAATGCATTGGGCACATGGCATTCTGGACAGAGCCAACCTTCAGACCAAAATTGCCCACTTTAGAAAATAATTCAAGGAAACTGGATACTACTACAAACAAATCCACACAGCAGTCCATGCTAGGGAAAGGCTAAGTGAAGTATCTACCAAGTAGAAACCCACTGTCATTGTCTTTCTGTCATATATACAACTGTTCAGTTTTATTGGTAGAATATGTGTATAGTAAGGAAGTAAGTAAGTAAAGGTATCCCTGTAACAGGCCATGGGGGCCCATAGGGTTGTGCGATGTTGAGGTTCCCACATTTTCTACACAGTCGGCTCATAGATGTCAGCAAGGTTGTCAGCCTTACGCATCGGCTGCCCTTTACCCCCATTCCAAGAATATTCCTTGTACTCATTTCTATTAGAGGCTGAGTTGACCCCAGGGCTATAGTGCAGCTGAAAGGATTAGGTCAGTTGAAAAAAATCCAGTTGCCTCATCGGGACTTGAACCCGTGACCTTCCGGCTTGTAGCGTAGTGCCTCAACCAACTACGCTACCGCATGCCCCCATTGATATAGTACAACATAAAAACAATACATATCCCATCACCTAAGACACACAGGGTTCACAGGCCAGTCAAAGACAGCCTAAGCCGAAAAGCTCTGGGAGTCTAATGTGAGACCAGCTGTATTATGTAGGTGGGCCGCATGATATCAGAATGCCCAGAGTAGCACTTGAGAGAACTCTGGCTCTATTCAGAATACTTGGTGATGGCAAAACACTTAGTCTGAGTCCACCACACCCAGTTTGACAATACAGTGGCATCAACACAGCTGCCCTGCTACACCAGCATAGCCAGTCATGAAACCATTGAGATCAGTTTATGTCATAACTTTGACAGAGAGTGGGGATCCCACATGATAGCTTGAAAGACAAAGGAATCCTCATGTATAGGGAGCAGAGAGAAAACCATAGGCATACACAACCCACAGATCTCTTGCCAGAGCCAGAAACAGCTAAACAAGTTTCACAGTTTGATTCCCCCCCCCCCAAGTATAGGTCACCATTTCTCCTCTCTCTGTCATCCTTCCCATTCCCCTCCCCAACTCAGCTGTTATCCCCCTTTCCTCTCTGGAGTGTCTGTTATAATGGTTTTGCTGTTATCTTCCTTTCCAGTGTCTGCTCTTAAAAGGTGTCTTTTCCACTCTTCCATGTTCACTGTTCATATTGTCCCAGGCATGGCTCTGTTTCTTGTGTCCTTGCCATAGTGGCGAGTGACTGCTGTTCTCTCACATCGCTTATATAATCTGATCATTTATTTATCTCAGTCACTTCCACTTCCACATGGTACCATCATTCAAAAATAGGATCAGCATAGCCAGTGAATGACTGTGAAAACCTAAAAGGGCCCATACACATACAAGTCTGGCTCGGCGAGCTTGACTCGGGAGCCAAACTCTGATTAATTCCACCACAAACGCATGAGCTGACTCCCAACTTTGCGACCCACGCATGGATGAGTTTGGCTCATTGGAACCCGAGCTGGGTCAGGCTCGCGAGCGAGACTCATACATGTATGGGCCCCTTAAGATTAGTACTCTGCTTAAATGTTTACAGTGACTATCTTGAGGTGTATTAGTACTCATATACAGGGTGTCCCAGGAGGAATGGACCAAACTTCGGGAGGGGGTTCCTTATGTTAAAGTATGCCGATATAACCCAAAACACCTATGTCCAAAGTTGAACGGTTACGGAGATAATGGCCCGAGAAAAGTGTCGTCTTCTAGCGGGTCTACGGACTATACCTATCAGCTGTGAGGCCTTATCTATGTTTGTCCTTGAGTGCCGTGATTCACCCTAGCCGTACTTATGTAGTTGGCTTTATCAGAACCCGCAGTCAGCCATATTACGTCAGCGCTTGCAAGTTATGTGTCATGTATAGTGCTTGGAAACCCTAAGGACAATTATGACATGGCGAGCGAGTATTTTGTACTTCAATTTTATGGCTTCATGTCACTCACAAGTTAGTTTTATGTTACGTACATTGTTAACATTACAGAATCCACATATTCCTGCCAGTTTTAATATGTATTTTATAATCAACAAGTGTGCAACGCCAGTCAAAGTTTCACACTTCTCTGGCCATTATCTCCGTAACCGTTCAACTTTGGACATAGGTGTTTTGGGTTATATCGGCATACTTTAACATAAGGAACCCCCTCCCGAAGTTTGGTCCATTCCTCCTGGGACACTCTGTATATCATTGAATATTAAAGGTTCTTTGGGTGCATATTTTATACCTAATACACATTTTTAGTGGGTCAGTGAGAAAAGTTTCCAGTCTCCTCTGTCTTCCTACGGCCTTTCTTTTTGATTTCCTGCCATTTCTTTTGTCTTTTCTTGATGCCTTCTAGTATCTGGCTAAACCATATATGTCATCCCATGAGTCTCTTTCCTAAAAATTTCAATTCTAATGCAATGTTTTATCCAGTCATTTTACATGATAAATCATTGTAATCATATCTCATTAAACTCCATTAACAGTATTTTTCCCTCAGTACTGCTGAACAATTTCATATCTCTTGTTTGGATTTTGCTTCTTCTTTCCCCCCCCCTTTTTAAAGGTCCATATTTCAGATAATTTGTTAGTATCATTTTGAGACGTATATGACTCGAAGTTTTCACAGTGACTGTATGCAATGAACTCTTCTTGGGTGGTGTTAGTATCCACTGTTTTGGAGACTGTCTGCATCATAAGGGGTTGATCAGTCACGATTGCTGGATACTAACTCCATATTGATGTAGCTCATTGCCTGTGAATACTTCATGCTGGTTAAAATATGTTTTATTGATTGTTGTACTTTTGAACTGACCAGAAGCTTCAGAAGTAATTATAGTCATATAATCCATTTTGTGAAAAATAAACTTATCTTTTCAGAATTTTCCTTTTGTTCTTTCTTAAATTCTCATTTTTGGCATGTTCCTTTGTTCCTAGTTTTAAGATCATTTACATTAAAGCTCTTACAGTGTGTACAATTATTTAGTGGCACTTCATGGTGTTAATGCCGTGCTCTTTAAGCTTGTTACTTGGCTGTAGTTCTGTCTTATTAATTTTTATTATAATTTTTTCTTAGTGTCATACTTGAAGAAGTTTCTGTGGCTTATTTCTCATATTAATAGTTTTATAAGTCAGTGCAGCAGGAAGCTAAAATATAACATTTATAAAAGTAGTTTGAAAACAGTTTATTTTTCTTAAACAATTATTGTACTTGAAAGGATTCTGATGATGTTGTATGCTGTACAGAACTATTAGGCTTATTTTGGACTCTATCCATCGTCACTTTCTAACGGGCCCAACTGAGTAGGTCTATCCTGCCCCATCCACCTGAGGATGGAGACAGATCCAGTCTCTGAAATGTTGTGGTTTTTTGTCTTATGTATACCAGACGACGGATAGAGTCCAAAATAAGCCTAATAGTTCTGTACAATAATTGTACTCTACACTGCTTTACAAATGTTCAGATGTAGTTTCATGGTGTATAGGATTTCATACATAAATTTCAAGTTGTGATAACTACATTATGTTTTGCTGAAATAATGCATGTTTTCTTTCCAGTGTCTTTATTTTATTTTGAACTGCAATGAAGATGTATGAACTATTTTGTGAAGTATGGTTTCAGTTAAAATTAAAAAATGGTAATAAAATCTACACGAAACACTGGCCAACATGAAGAGTTATGGTTTCAGTCCTTCAAGGCGAGACAGTGCAAAGAGCTGGTCATCTAGTAGCAGTGGATCCCGGTCACACAGTCGATCTGCATCACGCAGCCTGTCACGAAGCAGAACCCATTCGGGTTCTCGTTCTGTGTCACACTCACGATCACGGAGCAGGTCTCATAGCCATACTGCCAGCACCAATAGTTCCAGTGGTCATAGTTCACACAGCAACAGGTCTCACACCCGCAGTCCATCACGTTCCACTCACAAGAGCCCTAGTGCAAGCCCTCATACTAGCCATTCATCCCGTTCACGGTCACCATCTATACCCAGACGCAGAGGATCACCAAGCTTTCTTGATAGGAGGCGCATTACAAGGTGAGGTTGTTTATAACTTATTACTGTCTTTGATTTTTAGTGGCTTTGTGTCACTGTTATGTTTTATGCATATATATATGTTTTCTTCCAGTCTCAGCTCTTAGTAAACAGGAAATTTATTGTGGAATATAAGTTTCTTATATATGAATTTCATTCAGTATGACCTTTCTTTTGAAATGCTGTTGACCTCATTCCATATGAAATAACATATGTTAATAATATAAAGGCAGTTGGCATAGTTGAAGGTCTATTTTAACATTTTCAGACAGTTGAAATATAAATTATCCATACACAGTAATGCAGTTAGCTTATGATCCTCTGGATTATGACTCTGTAATCTGGTTGTTAATGAAGTTTGAGAATGGTGCAATTTATATAGGAGAGGTAGGAGGAAAGACTTCTCTTCTGTTGACCAGTATAAAATGTAAGTAATACTAGAAGAGAAAACAAAAATGGTGAAGATGAATGGGCACTATTGACCATGAAAAGAGTAACAGTGCAGGATAGACTTTGTAGGGGCAACTTTGAAAGGACAGGAGACCCTGAAAGGGTTATCCACAAGAGGGCCTTAACCAGTTAAACTGTATATTTTCCATGTTTTTATCTCTCCTGCAGTGAGACATTAAAATTCCCTGGACATTTAAATTTGTCATTGCAGTGTTTAATTTTATAATTTTTGCTCCTTTTTTAAAATTCAGTATCACAACCATATGTCATTATAAAATTATGAAAATGAAAGTCACTGAAAGACCAGTTATCAGAGTCTATTTATCTATAACTTCATTTATATAGCCATTACATTAAAGTTTATATATATACACAGGGTGTCCCAGGAGGAATGTGCCAAACTTCGGGAGGGTGTTCCTTATGTTAAAGTATGCCGATATAACCCAAAACACATGTCCAAAGTTGAACGGTTACGGAGATAATGGCCCGAGAAAAGTGTGGTCTTCTGGCGGGTCCACCTGTCATCTGAGATGCTTTATCTATGTTTGTCCTTGAGTGGTGATTCACACTAGCCATAAGCTCCTATCAGTATACGTTGAAGCTGGGTCGTGAATGGGTGGTAGGTTAATTGTGCGGAGTTGCTAAAATGCCTTTTATGTTTTCACACATGGAATATTGTGATATGCATTTTGTGTGTGGATTTTGCGGTGGAAATGCACGTGTTGCTGTTGAAGAATACCAAAGGCGTTTTCCTGATCGAAGGATTACATGTCGAAGTGTATTTACGCGAATTCACCAGACATTGCGTGATACTCGTTCTCTTCCGAGTGTTTCTGTGCACTCTGAAATGGAGGATGTACGAATGATAAACACATGAGAGAATGTTCATGAGATGGTTCAGAGAAGTCCGCGTCTGTCCACTCGTAGAATGGCCTGTCGCATCGGTGATCACGTATGCAGGTGTGGCGAACTTTGCATGATGAAGAGTTGTATCCTTACCATGATCAAAGGGTACAACATCTGGAACCAGGCGACCATGCACAGCGTATGGATTTGTGCCACTGGATAAAAGCTCATCCCAAACTGTTAAGCGTCATTTTATTCAGTGATGAGGCGTCTTTTACCCTGGATGGTGTAAATAATTTACGAAATGTGCATATGTGGTCCCATAATAATCCACATGAGATAATGGAAACGAAATTCCAAAAGAGATTTTCCGTGAATGTACGTTTAATACAGTTATGTGGTCGGCTTATAGCGCAGTCAGCCATGTTACGTTAGCGCTTGCAAGTTATGTGTCATGTATAGTGCATGGAAACCTAAGGACAATTATGACATGGTGAGCGAGTATTTTGTACTTCAATTTTATGGCTTCATGTCACTCACAAGTTAGTTTGATGTTACGTACATTATTAACATTACAGAATCCACATATTCCTGCCAGTTTTAATATGTATTTTGTAATCAACAAGTGTGTAACACCGGTCAAAGTTTCACACTTCTCTGGCCATTATCTCCGTAACCGTTCAACTTTGGACGTGTGTGTTGGGTTATATCGACATACTTTAACATAAGGAACACCCTCCCGAAGTTTGGCTCATTCCTCCTGGGACATCCTGTACATATACGTATTAGTGAAATTCTGAATTATATTCTCAAAAAGTACATTACTTTTGCCACTGACATTTCAGTTTCCAATATATGACAACAAAGGCATGTCTGACCCATGCACATTCACTGCATGCAGGCCTATCTGACATCCAATGTATAGAGATGAAACATGATTATAAAAGCTGACTGACAAAACCACCTCCAGCCTCAGCACACACTCACATGTTTGATTATTGTGATATTTCACTATGACCCACTACAGCTCTGACTGCTTCATTGATAACAGATATTTCTTATTGCCATGTGGGATGAATTTTTACTTCCTTTGCAAGTTCAGGACTACTGTGGGTGACTGAACTGTGCAATAAAAGCTGTTTGTTCTTCCAAACCTCCACAGACTCTGAAATCATAGCTAAAAATATTGTGCCAGGGGAAACATTATTTCAGCCCCAGTGGCACATACTGTGAAGGTATGGGGGAGTTTTCAATACGAACCCATAGTACACTTTCTGGCCAGTAAAACCTTACGTTCAGACATTTCTTAGCCACTTGTTGAACCTCAATCCCTTTCACGCTGCCATATGGTAATGTTGAAACAGTGCAGCTCACAGGGCCATCCTACAGTTTTTTTAGTTGTACCTTGTGTCACAATGTTGACCCTTTTTGTTGCCAACCAAATGAAGAAACTCGAGTAGACTGTGAAACCTCTCACTAACAGGTCCAAAAATACAGGTGTTTCCAGAATTTTCCTCCAGGAAAATTAGCTTGTTATCCAGTTTCTGGTGAAGTCCTTGTAACAGAAAGAATGCCAGCAACTTCATTATTTCACTTCTTTTCATTTTTTTCCAGTGATGGGTCCTAGATCTTAGTTTTAGATTATGTATGTTTTCTAAAATGTTGTTTTGGCATACCAGTTTGTTTCTGTGGCTATTATTTCCACAATTTCTTGTGTACAAAACAACTCAAAATATTTCAGGTGTTACTGGGGTCGTCTAAATCAACATTTATGCCAGGCCTGCCAGTAAGTGGCACCTGACTTTGCCCATATGCCATGCTGTATGTTACTCTTGTGACTGGCATTTTCTTCTTCATTGGAGCTGACACTCTGTTCATCACATGACAGAAAATTCACATTTATTTCACTGTCACTACTATATTCGCTCTCAGAAATATCGCTATGTTCATTCTGTTTCAACAGTTCATTTATCATTTCATCACTCACATGCATCTTCTTGCTAGGACCTGCCATAATGTTTACTTGAAAAAAAACTGAATCCAAGGCAGCTATCAAGCAGTCAGCATGTTCCAGTCACACTCTGAAGTAAGTAGAAGATGTTGCAATCACAGTGTTCTGCTTGAATTTCCTGTATAACAAAACTGTCCTTCCAGAAAAGATGTATAAGTGGGTTATAGCCATTCAAAGGGCTGAAGTTTATTTTCATAACTTGTGATTCATCTGTGTTGTAGATGATTATTTGCAAGGTCTTATGACAGGGGTATATGCAGCATATAAAGTTACTACTCCCAACAGACAATTACAAATACATAGATTTTGTTGTTCACAGTACTGAACCTTTAAAGCTAATGATATACATTTCCTTCTCACATCTCCGTAATATGCCATCAAAACAATAGTGATACTCAATAAAATGAAGACGTTAAAGTTGGTTATTTAAAGACAGTATCAGGACTGTATAGCATCAGTGATAAGGTGAATAATGAATATGCAGTAGTTGGTAGATTGAAAATTGGCAGGGGAAACCAAAGCACTTGCAGGAAACCTCCAACACATCTGGGATCAGACACAAGCTGCCAGAGTGGGAAGGTAGCAACTAACTGCTTGAGCCACAATATGGCCAGTAACCAGTATAAGTTGACATCCTAAAATCAGTGTCATTTATGAAAGTTCATACAAAAGTAATTGTGGATAATGCACATGTTTTGGAAAACCAAAATTCATGTGATCTTGATTTCCTAAACATCTTAGTATTGTGATGAAACTTTTCTCTCATTTTCAGGCATTGCCCAATGTTCATGTTACCATTTGATAAACTTTTCATTGCCCACAGCACCTTGTCCAAGATTTTCAGTGAAAGATATGAATAGAAAAAAAGTACTATTGCTATTCAGAGATGCAAAATGATTGGTCCTTAAACTTAAATGTTTAAATACATATTGTGGTACTCATACTTCTAATGTGATGTTTCTTTCAGCGCATATTGTGATTGCAGTCCTGAATGGACATGTATTGACTAAAGATGTTTATGATGTTATATTTCCGTTTGTCCTGATTGTAGTTCTTGTTGTCTTGTGTTTCTATGTTATATCCATTATTAAATACACATACAAGACATGCAAATATCATTGTCCATAAGTTTAAGTATGACTGTGTAGTGCTTGATGCTTCCTTGAAGGTGCAGAAGAGAGTTGTTTTTAGTGTAACGATAATAATTGTGTATTGATGTGAAATATATACTTGAGCAGCCTTCTGCGGTATGAGTCATTTACTAAATGCAAATGGTGATGTCACCTTAGTGATCATATTCTTGTGAGTACAGTTCTATATGCATTACTCCACTGATCTGATTTGTTACAGTGAAATTCTGTTCGGTTTTTTCATATCCCCTGTTCAGTGAATATTTTTCTGGCCTCAAGTGAAGCCCTATATATATAGTGCTGCAGTTTCTCAGCTTGCAGAAATCATACCTCAGTTTAATATGATTTTGGTTGAAACAGTATTTGATATTCATGTTTTATCTCTGCCAGAAATCCTTATACCATAACCATAATCTTTGGCAGATGATGTCACATTGAAAATTTAACATGCACTTGTGGCATCATGTTTGCTGCAATTTTTGGTTGAAGTGCTTCTGGTGTTTATGTCATACATCTTATTTTAGAAATCTTATATTATTTATTATATGTTTGTGTAGAAACAATTTCTTTAATTACTAATGTGAAGAAATTGTATTACCACAGTTGGATACAGTTAATTCTTATAAGAAGATAACAAAATTCTGCATAACCCTCATTTAATGAAAAGTTATTCTCTCAGAGATTCATTAAATAAGGATTTCACTGTATTTTGAATATTATGGGTCATTGTTTGAGTGTAAACCATCACAAAGTGATTGAACTCAAATTATGTTTGTTTCTAGTTATTTCCCACAAGGACTGATTCGGTTTTAGTAATAGTCAACATGATAGGTCATATAATGAATGTGAACAGTCACAAAATAATTCACTTTAATTTATATAATTCTAATGAATATGCTGTAAATGGGAATAATTTTCTTTTACTAAAGTACCATTGACCTTATTTCAGCATTATCAGTAGGATAGTAAAGATATCCCCGTTGTAACAGGCCATGGAGGCCCATAGGGTTGTGAGATGTTAAGGCACCCAGATTTTGTAGACAATCAGCTCACAGATGGTGGTGAGGTTGTCAGCCTTATGTGCCGGCCACCCTTTACCCCCCAGGAAGCTTCCTGCTACTCATTTCTGTTAGAGGCTGAGTCGACCCCGGGGTCATAATGCAGCTGGAAGGGTTAGGTGAAATGAAAAATGCAGTGACCTCATCGGGTTTGATCCCACGACCTTCTGGCTTGTAGCATAGTGCCTCAACCATCTGTGCTATCACGTGCTCCTACCAGTAGGATAGGCCTCATAAATACAAGTGCAGTAGGTAATGAAAGGAAATAAAGGGAAATGAACAGACAGTCTTTTGATAGTCAAAGTCATGTTACTCAGTCTGTCTGTCTTGGTGTCGAGCCCCAGCTGGGGCTCATGACCAGATGTTTTCTTCTTTGTGAAAGTTGCTGTCCTGTCCATTTGGGGCCCCCTCTCTGATGAGAGGTTGGGTCTGTCATTTGTCAGTCAGTCTGTTTTAAGAAGTCCACTGTCTGTATTTACATAATTTACAAATCCACATTTGTACCTTCTATGTACAATATATACAAGGCCTCTGTCAACCAACCCGGGCATTGTACAGCAGATTATGCCCTATTTCTAGTAGTAATCACTATCACGGCAGTCTAGTCACTTGAACGGTCGTACGCCTGACCGCCGCCAAGTTTAAGCCTCTTATACTTCCTGTGGCTGGCTTCGCCTTGTCCGATGTTGCGAACATTCTCATTATCATGATTTTGTATGACTTCTGCTTGTTGCCTGCATAATTTTGTTATGTAATCATATACGTATGGAATTTTGAATACCATGTGCAATTCGCGGACCGGTGTGCGCCTTGGAAAATTGCCAATCGTGCGGAGAACCTTGTTTTGCAGGCGCTGCAATTTCACTAGATGTGTGTCATCTTTTGATAATACGTGTCTGGAGTAGACACTTCCATGGTAACGCAATAACAGTGGGCCATTGCGTAGGAACCGCAGGATCAACAAACGCGTTTCCCCAGAGATGGAAAATTTGTTGTTTAACAACGAATTGTTAGAAGCATTGAATATGGTATTAGCTAAGTGGTTTGAAAAGCCCCTATATAATGGGTTGAAGGCATTCGCTGACACAGTTGAATTCTAGCCATCGTCAAAGTCGGTGAAGTTCCAGCCTTTGTAAAGAGTTGAGATATAGCCACCGCAGAAGCTAAAGTTGGAAGACAGAGTTTTGAGAAAGTCGCCATTGAAGAGAGTTGAAGTCTAGCATTCGATGAGTGAAGTCGAGAAGTGACTCCAGCAGAAGGATTAATTGTGACATTATAAGTGTAAAAGCGAAGGAGAATAAATATATGCTACATCCTTGACCCACATGAAGTTATTTGTTGCGTAACACAGCCAGCACGCGACAATATTTAGTCACATGTCTCACACTCACGTTGCTGTTGAAAATTGGGGATCGTTTGTACACAGTACAATGCAGTTGCACTTCATGGGAATTTTAAATAATGCAATATAAAAATGTTAATAAATCCTCACTTTATGTGCAATGTTTGGAATAATGCAAATCCCAAAATATTCAACAATAATAACATACGTTTTTTTAAACTTGTCTTGAATTTTGTGAACTTTGAATTGTGTGATGACTTAAGGAATGCAACCTTGCATACAATGCAGTTGCACTGTATCAACATTCTATGTCATGGTAGTCAGTACAGACAACTTGGTACTATGCAGTCTGCATCCATTATTGTGAACTAAGCTACAACCACATTTGAAAGTAATCCTGCTATAACATTATGCATATGTTAGTGTAAAAATGGGTTTAACCTTATTCCTTTTACAACATTACTGTGTTGTGCTGTCAACCCAGTTGTTCCCAAATATTTACATTTCAAATTAGAATTTGTCGCATTACTAAGGATTTAAAAATTTAAAATTAATATTTTTTGTGTGTCTTTTATAAAGATAGAATTTGTTTGTTCATAATTCATTATGTGAATGTTTGCACCACACATCAGTTTTAAAGTTATTGGTTCTATGTAGACTCCTGTCATATCAAATTGATATTATTCTGTTCATTTGTTAGATATGAACTTCTTTTTGCACAGCATTTCATACACACTTGGGTAAATTTGGTGCATGACAGTAGAGCTTGCAATGAAACAGTGGTTATGTTACGACAACAGAGACATTGTGTGCATTCAAATCTCACAGTTTCAATATTAAATCTTCATGGTCATGACACACCCTAGAAATATGTACCAGTCCAGTACCAGTTAAACACTATGGAATGACTTGTTCATTATCATTGCCAGTTTCCAATTGTCATTGGTTACACATGCAGTTTGTTAACTGCAGACTGTACTTGCATTTTCCAAAACATATAATGCAGAAGGTGTGGGTATGATTAAGTATAGTACTGTGAATATTTGAATAAACTGAAATTGTAATGTACCTATTATTGGGGATTATGCTGGATTAAGAGTTTGACTGTTATCCTAATGGGGGCACGCGGTAGCGTAGTGGTTGAGGCACTATGCTACAAGTCGGAAGGTCGCAGGTTCAAATACCGATGAGGTCATTGGATTTTTTCAATTGACATAATCCTTCCGGTCGCACTATGTTCACTCAGCCTCTAACAGAAATGAGTACCAGGAATTAAATAATTTTCCTGGGGAGTAAAGCGCGGCCGGCGCGTAAGGCTGACAGCCTTACCGCCATCTTTGAGCCGATTGTCTAGACAATGGGGACCCTCAACGTCTCACAACCCAATGGGCCTTCACGGCCTGTTACAGGGATAGCTTTACTTTACTTTTTTCTGTTATCCTAATAGCAGTGCTCAGACCTCAGAAGCTGAATAAACATCCTTCCTGAATGGATGAGTTAAGTTAAACTGTACATTCAGTATGGTTTTGCTTCTTAATGATGAACTTCATAACTTGTTATGCTTATTATTGTATGCATATAATAGCTATGCCTGACAGTGAATGGAAATTGTTGGAGCAGTTGCAGCAGTTGTCATATATATACAGGTATTTCTCATTTTATGCAATAGCTGTGTTCCAAAAAAAGAGTCGCAAAGGGTGAAATTACACAAAGCTAACATAATTTTCCCTTCTCTTGCATTCCTCCTCCACAAAACCACACAGCAATCTATTCCCCCTTCTCTCCACCCGTCTTGATTGGTCAGCAGCCAGGTTGCATTAAAGCAGATGCATCAATTGAAATCTGTCGAAATCAGCTGATTGCATTAAAATGAAATCACATGTTTTGTACTTGCATATAATGAGGAGTACCTCTTTGTTCCAAATATCTTTCAGTTGAACAGGGTTCCTATGTTTTCCATACATACATTTACAGTTCTTCTGCTTTTAACTCATCATGTATATAATATATTGAAATATAGAAAATAATCAAGATTTCCATTCCACAGCCGGAATGTTGGGAATTCCAGGTCAAGATCCCCTTCTTCCAGTAGGTGTGGCAGTGGTCCAAAGTCATCAAGGACCCCTGAGCGGAAACAGGATTCTCATCAGTCCAGACAAAAAAGTCGGCGATAAATTGTAGCGATGCTTACCTGGCTGAGACTTTGTTGATTGAAGTAATGGATGTTGACTCTTGTGTGTGACTAACTGATCTTTTTAGATTTTGCGGGCTTTACTAGGGCAAATCTGTTATTGTAAGTATGGAAGAAATGAATGAGAGTGACTGAAAATGGTGGTTTCTTTCTAAAAATAGAAGTGTGTTAGTGTTTGTTTGTAAATAGTGACATATCTCTATAATGTCTTACTGTGCATACCTTGATGAAAAATCTTAATATGTCAGTGTGTTCTACCAAGATTGGCATACCATTTTGGATATTCCATGAAAACTTAAGAATTTCATCTTCCAGTACATGTCTGGTGATTGTGCTATTTCTGTTAACATGAACCTTGCAAAGTTCCATTCCAACTTGCCTGCATTTTGATGTAAATCCTTCTTTGTCTTCGACCATTATTCTCATATCTAATATAAGGTGAAGAAGTTCTAGTATAAACTCATACTAGAGTAGTTATGTTAAATATTGCACAGAACTTAAGAACTTGCCAGTTTTTAAGGCTGTAAATGGATGTACAAGTATATCATTTTAATTAATTTTCAATGTTCCTTTGCAGCATTATACAGTAGCTGCATAATTCTGTATTGTAATATTTTTATGATCCCCAGGTCTTGGTTAGGTTAATTACTTTTGCCGGTTATAATGTTTACAACATATTAGTTCAACACCACATGATATTGGCTTGCCAGACCTTGAAATATTTTGGCATATTGCAAGATGCTGATTGTAAATGGGTCTTTCTAATTATTCCCTCTTTAAGATTTTACATCAGGGTATATTTTTTCATTTGGAGGTAAGTTTTAAATGGGAATTCTTCATATTATTTCCATCTGGTAGACACATGCTGCCTGATGTGGGAATTACATGTAGACAAGTAGCAGAATTGCCTTTGATTTTGTCAAGTGTTCATGAGCATCATAAATTTATAAGTTCTCTAAGCTAATAAATGTACAAATTTGAATTCTTTTCCATGTTGGTAGTGTAGAACCTTTTATTTTCTGTTAACTGAGTGTACCTAATTTAAGATGCCTCTGCACTGTATATTGCATGGAGCTTTCCTTTCTTTTTCTGTTGTTTCATGTGTTGTCCTGTTATCTGAAAGTTATGAAGGAGATGTGAGATATATCAATATTATTTCCTCTGAAACCCTTGTCATTCAAGATATTAAAGAGTTTCAGACAAATCTTTCGCCCAGTGTTATCAGGATAGGCATGTGTATGTGAAGGGATCAGGAAACTACGAAACTTCATGTGCTATATTGAAGTCTGGTGAAACCCAGAGTGGGTTATGTTTGGGGACTGCATCAAGAACTTGATATATAAAAGTATAATTTTGATTTAAAAATGATCTGTAAGTATTATTTCATTTGAAGATAATTTAGGCTCGATAAATCATCATGATTTTATTTCTTTCATGTCTCTAAATGCAAAGTGTAATTGATATAGTATAAATTTTTATTGCATTGTAAATGATACTTCAAAGTAAAAAATAAGTTTCATATTTAAATAATAAGTACAGTTATAATTGGTTTCTGTGTATTTCATAAATAAATAAAAGCAATGTGATTAATAGCTCAGAGACCATAATGCAGAGAGAACTTTTGGTATTTGTAGGTATAAGGAAACAAAATGTGGAAATGAAAGAATAATTTATTAAAGATTTTTATGTAGTCTTTTACCTACTGTATTACAGTTTTATAGCTCGTCCTTTCATCCCTTTGTAGCCATGCACACAAAAATACAAAATGCTGATGTTTAATTTTGTTCAAAAATTCAGTTTAGTGTTCTGACCATAATTAGGAAACAGAACATTTGTGAGTGAAATATTCTTTCCAGAAGTTGCTCTATCGAACAAGATAAAAGTGCTGTATTGTTTCTTTAGATATCTTGTAGAGTCAAACTGTGTAAAATAGTTTGCAAAAACATTTACCATAAAATTATGTTAGCTACACTAACATTACAATAAGATTCCTATAGGTTTTTCTCTTGTCTCACAGATGCTTAACAAGTCGTCTCGTAAGTTCTGTATAGACTTTCTTTTTCGCTCATATTCATTTCATATTGCTGGAAGACAGATTAAGAAACTTTAATTTATGTAACACTAGCTATATATTTTGAATACTTGTTACCATTCAAACAAAATCAACTAATTAATCCATGTCTATGTCATAGGCAGTGAGTACCAAATACAAACTGTAATGGCACACAGCACCTTGTGAAGAACAGATCCTTACAAGAGAGCTTCAAAAATAGATTTAAATCTGCTCTTATGAATATCATTCTTGAATGGCATGATTCAGGAATTGCTAGGCCTTTACTCTTGTATCAAACCATGGTGCAAAGAATGCACATAAATATAAGAATCTTCTGTTCCCTTGTCATTTCTGCACATGCCTGTGGAGGCTGAGAATGATGGAAATGAAAGTGATGAAGTAGAATATACTACAATATTCAGATACATTTATATCTCCATTCTGTGTTTTTCTTTACTGTATTATGCTCATAGGCAGGACTTGAAGGTGTAAATGCAAAAGGTAATAAAATGCAGTAGATCACATTCTGGTTATTTTGTTTTCAGTTATTTCATTTCATTGCTTCTTTATCTTTAATAGAGTCTCCTTCCCTTGCAGAATAACCTAATTCCACTAAAATAGTTTGCAAATACAAGTGATGAAATACCACATGGTTCTGAGTTTTTCTTTATAGAGCTTTCCAGGAACTTGGATCAAAGTTGAATGAGAATGAGGTGTTAGCACCCTGCGCCATGCTTGAAATAGTAGGAATGCCTTAATGTTGATCACATTCAACAGAATTTTTGCACATTTTATTTTCTGTTTGAGGTAAGTTTTGCATTTAGTTTTTATTTGCCTTCTTGATTTTGTTTTGCTGTCAGTTTTAATTTTTATACAGCATTGCCTTGTAATGGATCAATTGTGTGTGCATGTATATAGAAGTATGTATGTTTTACACTTTGTATGGAAGGTATGTGTCCCTTTTTTGTTCCCATAATTAGGGGATAAGGTGCATTGAACCAGCATCAGTAAAGGAAGGATGACATGAAACATTATATGATAGTCTTTAGGTTTTCACAGCTAGAGTGGAAGTTATAACTCTGGCTTTCATTAATAAGCTTCATAAATGTTGATGGTTTTTCATCTTGGCAAAGCCTGCAGTTGCTACCATACAACCCAGAAACCATTCAACAAAATGACATCCTGCTTCAAATCCACCAAGGACAGGTAACTTCACACTCAAAGATAGAGCATGTACAAACATGCCAAACAGGACACCAAATCACTAGGATACTGGAACACTTCAGAGATACCAGACTGGAGAACCATTGATTAGTGGTAGCCCAACACACCACAGAGATTAAATATAGCACTGACTGTGAGAAGACAATAATTTTATCCCACATCTGGGCCAACCTACCCACAATATCAGCTTAAAAAATATAAAGTTCCCCGTGCTTAATTAATCAAGCGGCACTAGGTGGGGGTGAATGGTCAGCTTCATGCCGCAGCCACTCTACCCTAGGGAGAGAGCTCCAATACTAATTGGACAGGAGGCTGTAGACAAGAGAAAATTTGAACCCTGGGCATCCAGCCCATAGCCCATCACACACCATCATCAGGAAGTCCATTTAAATACATTAACAAAATATCCTCATAATTTCAACCATGAAAGTGGTGCACACCAAGTAAAGCCTGGCTTCATCTCTTTCAGCCAAAACCTATTGCTGAAAGAGTGATAGAGTTCACCTGTGCTGACTGACACTGGGCAATGAAACATTTCTTGACTCCTTTCCAGACAACTTTTGTGATCATAAAGAAATGTAGGACCTCCTTTGCTACCCATGTGACCACTAACAACTTTTTCATCTAATCTTATCACATGGATATAAAAATATCTTTCATCACCTTTCTCATTACCACATGGTCACCAGAAACACTTCCATCATCTTCTGTCACAAACAGAGGGTCACAGAAGCATTTTGAATCACCTCTCTCAACCATGTGGGCACCCTCTATTGGATAGCATCACACTCCTTGGTTTTATCTTGTCCCACTCAACACCCTCCACCACATCTATGTAAGGGCCTCTGAAAACAGACCGAAGATATTAACCTTGTGAGTAGCAACTGCAGTATTTACCAATATGTTGAAAGCTTCTAACATTTTACACTGCTTATTCTGGAAGATGAAGTTATATGATGGTGTGATATTACTGTAACAAGTGTGAACATTATGTTTTGCCACAGTGAAGACTGTGAAGTTGTTATTAAAAATTCACTTCAAGTTGCTTGTTACTCTTTTACATAACTGGAAGATAATTTGTATTTCATGATAAAGGACCATGATTAATTACATTAAAATTAAAAAAGAAAGCAAATTCAGAATGCATTTCAAACTGTAGTACTTATATGCATGAAGTACTTTCATGTTTCTTGGAAGTTATACCGTGTCATAGGTTGTGTGAAATTGACTTTTCAGAGTTGACAGGACTTTGAATGAAATATAAACTTCAGATTTCAGACGTATTGTGAATGCCAGTAGACATGTAGTTTGTTCCCAGTGTCAGTACTTTTCTGTTTTAATTTTCTAAATTTTTCAGGGTTGAAGCAATAATTGTCACCTGCTTATCAGTAATTACTTTCATGTAAATATATGTTGTTAAAAAAGTGTAAATGCCTACTCAAATCATTCCATAATGGAGAATAAAATTCAAATCATGAAATGAGAACTTGAGATCTTACCAAATATTCTGGGTTTATGAGCTTTGTGTTTCTTTAATTTTCATTTGTGCCTTGTAGAAGGTGCATAAAGTGAACTTATTGTGGGGCAGTCTTGTATGCTTCATCTCTAAAACTATTCAAGAAAGTTTTTATTGAATTTGGTATTGGTACATGAAAAGTCTGGTGTGTCTCATTTTATTCTGTATGGTTCTGATTTAAATGATTCTTGACAATGAAATTCAAAATTTACCAGTTTTCTCATTCAGAGGATTGATGCTTGTACATCTCAAAGGGATAGGTCTTAGTAAGATGTGTAACATTATTTTAAATGTTTCTATGAATAAAATATAAGGGAAAATACTACATGTTTCTGTAATCTAATATATATGCTGTTTACTAGCTCTCTCAGCAACACAATTTTTGACTCTGTGCCTTGTAATGCCTATATAATATATTCATATCTACAGACAGTAAATGTTCAGGCCAGCAAGGTGTGCAGACCAGTACATAAATTTACATGTGGCATATAAATGTGGCAAGTTAGGCAGCAGAAACACAGTTCTGCTTGGAATAGTGACTTTTAGACCAAATGACAAATCAATTCCAAATATCTTATACGAATATGGATTTTGAACACAGAGCATGCAATGGCAAGAAATCCTATTCTTCCTGTCACAGTCAAGTTGAATTCTATTGCAGATTGATAGGAAGATATATTTGGAGAGTGTACTACAGTGGTATGCTTCAGACTTCAAATTTACATCTTAAGATGAAAGTTGATATGAGAGTTTGATTCATTAAGGAAATTAACCAGCAATTAAAGAATTCATCATGACAATCCAAAAGGTTGTTAATGTTATTTCATTTATTTTTAATTTATTTAATGGTGTGTTCACTGGCCCAACTTATATAGCATCAAGTGATAGAATTATTAGTGGGAAAAAGAAAATAAAAAATGAAAAACATAAAGGGGCATACAGACAGACAGCAAGGTGATCTCATAAGCCTCCTTTTATATTTTCAAAATAAGGAAAGTAGGCTAAAATTAGTTGTTGAAAATATATGAGAAAATAGTGATGGGCTCATTTTGGGTACTGTCCCAGCATGGGATGGAGAGACTGAGGAAAACAGCAATAAACCTTAGTCATGATAGCTGGTCTTCTATCAAAGATTTGAATACAGGACTTAATGAATATAAAGCATGGGTACTAACCACCAGCCACAACATGTGATGTCATGAATGTTAAATCAGGTAGTGTCATGCAATTGGCTGTTTGTGGAGTATATATGCACTGTGTGTGGTTGCATGTGTAATATTGCAGTCTGTAGTGAAATAAGTAAGATCCATTTGCAGGATTACGAAGTACTGAAGTGAATTAACCACAGAAACTGGCTTGCTTGAACATGTGTGCTTCTTGTTAACACTCTTAGAATGCCACCTTGCATATTTCATTTTCATTGTTTGCATGCTGTTTTCAACACTAATATTACATATCTGATGTTCTGGAAACAGTTATGAAACCTCTCCCCAATCAGTAAGCCTGATCATTTGTGCTTTGTTCTTAATGTGAGGAGAATCTCTCGGTGTCCCTTTCGATTCTTTATAAAATCTTCAAAATTAAATTTTTGGGTATTTTCTATTTGATTNGATGTATATATATATATATATATATGTAGAGTAATATGTCCAACTATAAAACAGCCTTTGCTTCTGAAGGATACAGCATCTTCGTGTTTCTATACAGGTTAAAATTTAATTGAAAATAATCTTTGATAAGGGAATAAGTCTGAAGAGTTATGACTGGAAGAGCAGTTGAAACATTAGGTGAATATAGGAATTGATGCCAACCCTGATGGTGAAGACAAAGCAAGTCTCTGTAACATTGGTTTTTAGTTCAACCATGACATGGCTGATTGCCAGAGGGGATTTTATTGTGTCAGATTTATGCTGGACATCACCATTCGGTATTTAATGTGTACAGTGTATAGGGTTGTTTCTGGAAAAATTGTATTGTGTAATTAATTTGTACCAAACAAAAACAAGAAACAAACTCCATGACCTGTAGTCCACAGGCAAACTATACCAACCAAGCGACTGCCGCATGTCAGTGAAGTTAGTGCCAACTTTAGCAAATAGAGGGTGTTACATGGTCAGCGCAACAGATCCCCATGGCCATTATTCTCGGTTTTCTAGACCGGAGCCACTATTTCCTTGAAATAGCTCCTCAGTTATCCTCACGAGGCTGAGTGGACCCTGTTCCAGATCTGCTACTCAGAAAATGTGGTAGCATCAGGAATCAAACCTGGGACCTGTGGATCTGTAGCCAGGAAATCTGACCACAAGACCGCAGAGGCCAGTACCAGTCTTAGGAAAGAAATTCTGAATATCTGCTTCTCCCAGTATGTGAAATTATTGAAGAAACTGTAACACCTGTAATGGATGGGTAGACTCCAGTGACAGTAAGGTGTCTGAACTCACTGCTTGAATAATCAATCATTTCTGTGTGTTTTATGACAGGAAATACAGTTTCTAATCATGGAAAAATTCGAATTCTGAAAAGTTTAAGTTTAGGACTCATTTTCAGTTCAGTTTGCAACCTCACTATAGAAACCCAGTTTATCATTTGAGGCATGGTTATGTATTTACAAAGACCTCATGTGGTACATAAGCATAAAGTAGGCAATGTAAAATACAGTGCTTCCTGGAATAAGGACTCAGTCAAAGGAAGAAAGGAATGCCAAATATTTTATATTCATATGAATTTTGTACACACAGACAATAGAGGCAAGTGATCATATTGTTCCTTTTGCCAACTTGAATTCAGTTGTAG